CGGCGGGAGCGCTGCCGCGCTTCCCAAGCAGCGCACTAGCGCAGTGCGCCACGGGGCCGGCCCCTTATAATTTTTTTTTTTTTTTGTCTTTTTTCCGTGTCCGGCAATGGATCGCAACCCTCGGTGTTGCCCCCGCGCCTCGCTCAGCCAGTGAGCGGGAACCGGTCTGTATGTGGGATCTGAACCCTCGGCGGGAGCGCTGCCGCGCTTCCCAAGCAGCGCACTAGCGCAGTGCGCCACGGGGCCGGCCCCTTATAATTTTTTTTTTTTTTTGTCTTTTTTCCGTGTCCGGCAAGGGATCGCAACCCTCGGTGTTGCCCCCGCGCCTCGCTCAGCCAGTGAGCGGGAACCGGTCTGTATGTGGGATCTGAACCCTCGGCGGGAGCGCTGCCGCGCTTCCCAAGCAGCGCACTAGCGCAGTGCGCCACCGGGCCGGCCCCTTATAATTTTTTTTTGATGCATTTCTAAGCAGACATTAGAATACATTTTCCAGAGTCAGAGTCATGAAAGTTTTTGGCTTAAGAGTGATTTTCAATCTTAAAAAAAGATTTAAAACTGAAATCTTACATTGATAGCACACAAAAGAGCTAGTAGGTGGTACAACTCTGGTCGAAAAAGGAATGAGGTCCAGAGCTCCTCCCTTGGCCTTTTCTTCATCTCCCCCTTTATTAAAGATTCCTCAACACAGTTTGAAAATCAGCACTCTAACTCATCCGCTTCATTCCCACCTTGAGGAGTCTGGATCTAGAGGTGTTAAGTGACTTGCTCAAGGGTGCAGAAGAAGTTAGTGGCTGAACTAGGAAGCAAATCCAGATCTCCTTTATTTGATTGCTGTGACTGCTCAAGACTGTAGCCTCCCAGAGCTGTAGAATCACAGGACCTTAGTGTTAGAACTAACCATAAAGTTATTTATTTTGTCATCCCACCTGTCTTCTTTTAATTACCACTGTCACCTGCTCTTTGTTTCAGTATAATTGTGCATATCTTGGAAATAAATCTTCACATAAAAGAGAAGGGAATTATGCTGTTAAAATAATTTCTGATGTGGGATAAAATGCCCTATCCTAAAAGGAGGATTTGGATGATCTGGATAATTATATTTTGATGTAATGTAGTGAAAATCATAATTTTAAATAATTTGGAAATTCTATAGTATATATAAATGTGGATATTATAGAGGACTTCATCTGCTGATTTGAATTCCTTGATTTAATTTTTAAATTATTTTGAAGTAAAGAGTACATTTAAAAAACCCACAGTTAATTCCCTATAATTGCAGCATTACATTAAGTAAAATTTACTTCTGTAACCTAGAAGTGCATTAAAAACTCAAGTGTTTTTATTGTACTTAGAATTGTTATTTCTGATTATGTAGAATATAATGATTAGAAAGTACATAGTATCATTAGTTAACAGAAACACTTGTTTTTGTTTTTAATCTTCTAAAAAATCCAGTGAAAAAGAGGAGGAACTGGCACAGGCATGACTACACAGAAATTGATGATGGTTCCAAACCAGTGCAAGCTGGAACTCGAACTTTTGTTAAGGAATTACGTTCTCGAATCTTCCCAAGGTATGGAAACTTGTTCTGATTAAAGAAAATTTAAGACTGTTGGCTGATAAAGTGACATTAAAACAATGCTTTCAAACTTCAGGCTTCAACTCATTATTCTCAACCGGCTTTTCACTTTTTTACTTTTTAATGAAATAGAAGAGAAAATATCAGTATGTTGCAAGTACTAGGAATAAATAAGCACAGTTCATGGAATTTTTGTTATATGTATATTGCATACTGGGTCACCAATATGTAAAAATGTGTAAAAATGTACTTCTTAATCGTGGGTCACTAATCTGAGGCAGTTGTTCCCAGCATTTGGTTCCTTATGACATGCAGCTGCTTCTTTTTCTTCCCCTCACCTCCTACTTTCCAACTCTGATTTTTTCTCACGTTGTTTTCATATCTGTCTGTGCCATAAGTCCACCAGAAGCACACACAACCATTGCTTAGCCTCTGGAGGCTGTAGGACTGGGTTTTTTGATGTGTTTTAAATAATGAGGTTTATTTGAGTTGTCTGTGGCTCAAAGAGAGTCAAAAGCATTACCTTTCCAACTCTGATTTTTTCTCACGTTGTTTTCATATCTGTCTGTGCCGTAAGTCCACCAGAAGCACACACAACCATTGCTTAGCCTCTGGAGGCTGTAGGACTGGGTTTTTTGGTGTGTTTTAAATAATGAGGTTTATTTGAGTTGTCTGTGGCTCAAAGAGAGTCAAAAGCATTATAAAGCATTTAATCATGCTAATTTAGATCATTTCCTACTCACTGCTTGACATCTATTTAAAGTGATAATACTTAATAGGCTTTTACACAAGATCATATCCAGGCTTGTTAAAGAGAGGAGCACAATTTAAATTTAAATCACAGTATCACATGCAGCCTATTATGGAGTTATTTCAGATCCTGAAATGATAAAACTCCTGCTATTTCTCCTCAATCTTTAGGATTCCTCTCTATCCCTCTGCTCCTTAATCCTTAAACAGAAACGTAATGATAAGCATCTACCATTGCCTCCCTCGGGTCTGCTGAGAGACAAAAAGAAAACAGATGAAACGTAGTGCTTCCACATGATTTTTGTGGTGTTAAAAGCCTTGTTCTCAAATATTCCCTTTTATCAGTTTAAAAGTCTTAGGAGAAATGTTTGTTTTCCTTTTTATTGGATAATACTTGGTTGGTTTGGGAGCCTAGGGCCAGAATTTTCAGTCTGGGTCTTTTGGTGGGCTTCAGAGAGGTTTGTGAGCTCCCTAAAACTGCACATACAATTCAGTGTCAACGTGTGAGAGTGCATTTTTCAGAGAAGGAGCCATAGCTTTCATTTTTTTCAAATAGGTTTGTGACCCAAAAAAGTAGTGTTAAAAACACTGGCCTAGTAATTCATGTGGCTTTTCAACCAAAGTGAACACAAATGAGAACAGGTTACAGAGATGATTACAAATGTCCAAACTGTAATTAACATTAATTGAGGGTCTTTTGTTTTATTTTAACTCCATAAACCTTTACATCATTTAAAACCATAGTAGAATAACAATATTACTAAATTACACATACTTGATGTGATTAACACAGGAATGTATAAAATAAAGTGAATGGGTTATCTTCCCCCTCCAGTATTTTAAGCCAGTGTCAGTCTTTTGAGATCCTTTTCTATATAAATAATAACATTTAATACATTTATGAGTATAGATTTATGTGTGCATATAATTTCTAAAAAATAAAATGGGGTTAAGTTATGCATAGTGTTGTAAACGTGCCTTTTTTTACTCTATTATACTTCATAGGTATCCTTTAAATGTTATGTAGACTTACCTACCTCCTTAACTGCCGTGTAGTATGCAATAGTATATATATCACATAATTTGCCTAACCATCCCCATATAAGTTTAGTTTGTCTCCAATTTTTTCCTCTTGCAAATTACGTTGTACCTGTATTTTAAGCACTTGTGTCTATATATTTGTGATGAAGAGAGGAAGTAAAACACCAAACATTTGAAATCAGGGAGTACAAGTGATTTAAAATTCTTCCTCAGATTGGAGTTTAAGGAATTATTTAATCCTTAGAGGTTGAGGGAAGGAGGGACAATTGTGGATGCCTATTGGGGAAACTAAAAGGTAGTGCTGAACTCAAGGTTCAGTAGATGAGCCAAACGAAGATCTCAGCCATCCACTTATATGACTATCTGGGAAAAGTCTATATCCGTTTTCTTAGGCTTCCAACTGCCGTTGCCTTATTGAGAAGGTGAGAAGGTCAGAGTCCAGTAATTCAGAGAACCAGTGTCTCCTTTTTATTTTGTCTTCTCCTTACCACCTAGGCTGCAGATGAGATCCAACAGTTAAGATCTGATTGTATAAATGGAAACTGTTGTGTTTTAACCTTTATGGCAAGTGTTGCACTTAATTTTGAATGTACAGCAGCTGCATCCTGTGAGCAATTGGGAGATGACAATCTAGAATACCCCATTGAAGGAGATCTGGAGTTCTTTGGATTTGCAGTTGGATTGAAGACAGTGACGAGAGACAAACCACGCTTAAGTGTAATGCCTATGACATGCTGATCATCAGAGAGGGCAGCTGGAGGTCCAACCCTTTTTAGTGGCTTAAAGTGACTACCTAGTATTAGAACTTAGTAAATACTAATTATGATAGATCATTTAAATCAGTAGTTTTCAATGGGGGCCTTTTGGACATATGTCTCAATGGGAAAGGAGCAGGGATGGTAGTCATCCTGCAACATGCAGAACAACAATTAATTGTTGTATGTCCCATTAGACTTTGAAAAGTCTAACAGATATTTCTGTAGAAGTTTATAGCCAGATAAAATATGGTCAGTTTTTACTTATCCTTATGCTATCTAATGTGCACCTTACCTTTTGCTCTTCTTATTCCTTATGTACAGCTTGTATCGAGTGGCTTCTTTTGATCTTTTTATTTCTCTTAAATCCAGTTATTCATTATAATACTACTTTTAAGCATCCTACTATTTTATTATGTCTCCTAGTGTAATTTACTGAAAATTCACTTATTGAAATATTTTGATAGTTTTTTTTCCTCATTTTATAGTTAGAGCATTTTATATATTTTTCCAATTATATCTATTGAATTAAGTAGATTATATTATCTATGAATTGAGAACCATGGATATAGATAATTATACTGTATATCAATTAACCTATTATCACAGTATTTTTTTTAAACCTAACTTACCTACAAAATGACATATTGTTTTTATGTTTTTCCTTAGTGCCGATGAAATAATTGTAAAGATGCATGGCAGCCAGCTGACACAAAGATACCTGGAGAAACATGGATTTGATGTCCCTATAATGGTCCCTAAATTAGATGATCTAGGACTCAGGCTTCCTCCACCTACTTTTTCTGTGATGGATGTGGAACGTTATGTAGGTACGAACTTGATTTCTCTAAGTACTTGGGAAAGCATGGTATAAGTAAAAATGAGAGTGTTTTAATAATAAAAGTTGAGTGAAGAAATGTTAATTGAGTTCAGTTTCCTGGGTCAGGAAAAGTGAAACTCAGTATCACCTATAGCTGTCAGTAAAACAGAATGAAACATTATATCCATTCTTATATACCCAGCCTCATGCTTTCTTCGGTATCATTAAATTTTCCAATACTTGGGGGCTGGCCCGGTGGCGCACTGGATAGTGCGCTGCTTGGGAAGCGCGGCGGCGCTCCCGCCCGAGGGTTCGGATCCCACATACAGACCGGTTCCCGCTCACTGGCTGAGCGAGGCGCCGGAGCAACACCGAGGGTTGCGATTCCGTTGCCGGTCCCCTGTCCGGTACGGGGGCAACACTGAGGGTTGCGATCCGTTGCCGGACACGGAAAAAGACAAAAGACAAAAAAAAAAAAAAAATTTTTCCAATACTTGCTAAGAGAAAACCATTATTGAGGGACAGCTACAGACACCAAGAAGACATTGGGAAATTGAGTTGGTTCTAGGCATCTGTAGAGTACAGGTACAAAATTCTGGACCCCAGTACACCAACTGCATAATTAGTCCTCTGGAACCTGCTTTGTGACCTCCTGCTGCTTATAGAGGAAGGGCCATAAAATGAGATCATTTTCAAACCCGTTTTTATATTAATGACTTGGTGAATATTGCTATTTAATGATGTTTGGACTTAATTTGTGATTTTGAGGCCCAGAAAGGCATAGAAACAAGGGGAAATGCCCTGTACCTAATGCCATACTATTGACATTTTCAGTCATTTCATTCATTCTCATCATGATATTTATAGATAAAGCTGACTGCATGTAGATGTCATTCCTTGTTAGCAATAAATAAAGATTATTTATGGTTTAGGTCCCAAATCTACCTTGACTCAAAATTGTACATCCACTACAGTACATTATCTCCTTAGCATGGAATATCTGAGATATTCCATGTCTCTTTATCGAGCCATTGGTTGATAATACTCATTGGTAAATGTTTCACTGAGGAAATCCAGTTAAATGTGATGACTACGTATTCAGCTAAATTTGAATATTTGATAAATTGGTGAATGAGGCTGAGGTTTAACCTAAAGCTATCTGCATAGATAGCACTGTAAAATAAATGGCTAATTAATGTCAGTATAGGAAAAAGTATTCAAACTGCGATAGCTAACTTTTAGTACTGCAAAGCACTTCATTTAAATATAGTACTATTAATAAAATTGTGTTACCTCCTAAAGATAAAATAAAGAAGTCCACAAGGCAACACTTTCTTAACTTATGTGAAGTTATATTAAAGTAAGAAAATGGCATTTATTTGTCTTCTATTTCAGATTGGTTAAGTATTGCCATATTTTGAATTCCACCCTATCCTTTAGTCCATTGTAAAACTGGTTATCTTTCCTAGGTTGGGAGTGCAGTGGTCCACAAGCCTCATCTCATGGTTTTATATTCACAATTCAGAACTTGAGCATTCAGACATAGGCACTGATTTTTGCTTCCTAGCCACCAGTATTTTCCTTGAGGAGAATATTAAAAGAGAAGACACTATCAGGAGAGCAGAAATTGTTTATCCTGGTCAGTTTGCTCACTAATTCCCCAATGACTGATCTGTTTTTCAAAATGATAGAATCTTAAGCATTATGTAAGTGAAAGAGAAAGGCCAGTCCCTTCATTTTATGCATAAGAAAATTGAAACTCAGAAAGTGTTGCACAGTTTTCACATACCGATATAATGTATTTTTGTCATTACAAGCTGCACACAAATCATTGGTATGTAGAAAGCTTTGTAAGCCATGTAAGTTTTTACACAGTATTAATTATTCAGCTCTGTCTTATTGCTTTATTCTTTCCCCCCCAAACTGTCCCCTTGTTTCAAAAAGTCGATTTGAACTTAAAAAGTAAGAATATGGGAAGAATCTTTGCCTATGTAGTTTTATAATTGGCTTAATTATTACACCAACTAAATATGGTCTTTAAAACATTATTGTTTAGGGCATCTAATGATATAACTCTTAAGCCCAATAATAAGACTACAATCTTTCTCTGCAGGTGGTGACAAAGTGATAGATGTCATTGATGTGGCAAGGCAGGCAGACAGCAAAATGACACTTCACAATTATGTTAAATACTTCACGAATCTTAACAGACCAAAAGTGTTAAATGTGATCAGCCTTGAATTTTCAGATACAAAGTGAGTAGTTCTGGACATTTTGCTTTAGCATTCTAAGTATTAGCTAAATGGTAGTTTAATGATGTATTTAATTTAGTAAGAAACATAATTGTGACTTAAAGTTGTCCAGTGGTAGCAATGTTGTAAGTTTTGCTTTGGCATGCCCAGAGAATATTTGGAAATAAGATGTGTTTTATACTTAAGTATTGTTGCTGACCTTGAGTTCCAATTAATTATTTGGATTGGGTTGAGATGGAGAAGCAATTTTAAGAAGTTTTAATTTGCATGATATGGGTGTGTGTGTATGTGTGTGCTTGCTTTTTTAAAAGGATGTCTGAATTGGTGGAGGTCCCTGATATAGCCAGAAAACTTTCCTGGGTGGAAAATTATTGGCCAGATGATTCAGTGTTTCCCAAGCCATTTGTTCAGAAATACTGCTTAATGGGAGTTCAAGACAGCTATACAGATTTCCACATTGACTTCGGTGGAACTTCAGTCTGGTACCATGTCCTCTGGGTAAGATTGGGGTATTTCTTTGTTCTCTTATTGACAAAAACATATAGCCATGTTTTTCTACTATTACATTCATTTGCTGTAGACATTTGCAAAGGAGGAAGTTCTTCTACATTTTAAGTAGGATCTATCACTTTGCCTTTAAGCATTATGACTTTTTTTATTCCAAGTAATGGAAGAGCCATGAATTCTTTATATTTAGATTCCATTTTTGCCCCCATCTTTTAAATTGGTTTCTTTTAGCCTTTTGTCTTTTTGTTTCTTGCCCCCTAGTCAATTATACATTAATCCCTCAATCAAATACCTAAGAAAGACCAAAATTACAGTAAAAATTGCTTCTGGCCTTAAGGTTAAGATAGGCCAGCTAGTTGGATAAGTCAGGAATGCCCATAAAAATACCAGTCCTTTGCAGTTTATATCCACCTTGCTTTATCTAGAACTGTACTGTTGACTACAGTAGTCACTAGCCACATGTGGTTAAATTTAAATAATTAAAATTGAATATAATTAAAAATTCAGTTCTTCATTTGCACCAGCCACATTTCAAGTGCTCAGTAGCCACATGTGGCTAATGACAACTATATTGGATAGCACAGATGTAAAAAATTTCCATCATCACAGAAAGTTCTGTTGGAGAGTGCTGATCTAGAACCAAATCTTCATCTATATCAAATGTCTATGCCTCAGCAATGCTCTGGACTGTATTTGATGCTGTGTCCTTGGGCTCCTGTTCCTTTTTTTTTATGAGGAAGCAGAGAGTTAGTTCATTAACGGAAATTTATTTACACATCTTTAAAAATGATCATTATGTGATAGATCATGGGAGAAAGGGCAAAGTTTGCAGAGATGACTCTGCAACCTCGGGCCTGTTAACATGTATTTACTTGAAAATGTGAGGTCAGTGGGATGTTTGTGGTTCTTTACCCTTTTCTCTTGCAACTATTTCTTCAACACTACTTTATTGACTCCTTGTCGGTTAGGGAGGGGGAGCTTTAGCTCCTGTGAAAATGTTTATTATGGACAATAGCTACTGATCAGGTATGTTAAATATGTCTTTTTTGAAAATAAAATATCTGATAATTATCTAACTTAACTTAGATCATTGTATTGGGAAATTGCATTAATGTAGGCCATTTTAAGAATGACTTTTGCTTTTTCAAAAATAGTATGAACTTCTTTCTAGGGTGAGAAGATTTTTTATCTGATAAAGCCAACAGATGAAAATTTGGCACTCTATGAATCTTGGAGTTCATCTGTGACCCAGAGTGAGGTGTTCTTTGGAGATAAGGTGGATAAATGCTACAAATGTGTGGTAAAGCAGGGACATACTTTATTTGTTCCTACAGGTAAGTCAATATTCAGTCACATGGAGTCAGCTCTTAATACGATCCTCTGGCTTTAACATGTTTGGAAAGTAGCTTTTATGGTATTGCCTAAGAAATAATTCTGATCTTGAACTTTTTACTTCTTTTTCCCTTGAAGGGTTTCTCTTATGGTTAGGACTTGTTTTGGCATTGTGTTTTATGTCATTTGGCTTTATTTATTTTTATTGAGATAAAATTCACATACCATAGTATTCACCCTTTTAAAGTGTACAATTCACTGGTTTTTAGTAGATTAACGGAGTTGTGCAACCATCACCACTGTCTAATTTCAGAAGATTTTCCTTATCTCAAGAAGAAATCTCATACCCGTCATCAGTCACTCTCCATTCCCCCCTCCCCTGAGCTGTTAGCAACCACTAATATACTTTTTTCTCTATGGATTGCTTATCCTGGACACTTCATATAAATGGAATCATGCGATATGTGGCATTTTGTATCTAGCTTGTTTCACTTAGCATAATATTTTCTAGGCTTATCCATGTGGTAGCACATTTAGGTACTTCATCTTTTTATGGCCCAATAATAGGCCATTGTAGGATATACCATATTTTGTTTATTCATTCATCAGATGATGGTCATTTGGGTTGTTTCTACTTTTTTGCTATTATGAATAGTGTTGCTTTGAGCATTTGTATACAAGTTTTTATGTGGAAGTATGTTTTCATTTCTCTTGGGTATATATCTAGTAGGGGAATTGCTGCATCATATGGTATAACTATGTTTAACTTTTTAAGGAGCTGCCCAACTGTTCTCCAAATAGATGCATCATTTTACATTCCCACCAGCAGTGCATTTGGGTCCCAATTTCTCCACATCCTCTCCAACACTGTAATTGTCTTTTATTTTTGCCATGCTAGTGGGTGTGAAGTGGTATTTCATTATGGTTTTGATTTGCGTTTCCTTAATGAGTGTTGATGCTAAGCATTTTTCTTGTGCTTATTGGCTATTTGTATATCTTCTTTGGAGAAATGTCTACTCAAATCCTTTGCCCATTTTTAAATTGGGTTATTTGTCTTTTTATTGTTGAATTTGTAAGCATTCTTTATATATTTTGCATACTAGACCTGTATCAAACAAATGATTTGCACATATTTTCTCCCCTTCTGTGGGTTGTCTTTTCACTTTTTTGATAATGTCCTTTGATGCACAAAAGTTTTTAATTTTGATGAAGTTTCCTTTAGTTTTAAGTCTGGTCAGCTCTACATTGCTGTCAAAGGCCAAGCCTGCTCTAAGAATCTGGGCTGCTGTCCCGAGACAATTAGGAGGCAAAGGGTATGTCTTGAGGGACCCTAGGAAGGATTGAGCATCAGTCTTAGCTGTAGCCTCAAATATAGGTATCAGGTGTGTCATTTTGAGATATGAATGAATGCACAGTATAGACTTTTCCAGACCAGTGGTTTTGAGAATTGTATTTTGCTGGTTTGAGTGACCTTAATGCCTGCAGAGTTCACAGGGATCTGTTACCGCAGGCACTGCTTTCTTGCCTTGCCACTGATCTGTATAATAATAAATATGTGTTGAATGACTATGAATGGGCTAAGCTCTTCCCTTAAATCCTCTTTGTAGTGCTTCTTTTTATAATAAATACTTTGTTGTGCCCTCTTCAAAATTTCAAATTGTTTCATAGATAATTTAACCTTCTACACAATAATTTTTTTAAAAATTGATTTAATGAACTAACTGGAATATAAAGAAGAAATAAAAAGGTAATTTATAATGAAACACTATTTCAATATGTGCCTCTTCAGGCACAGCAGTATTAGAGGACAGAATGAAATGGTTAAGCCGCATAAGCCAGCAAACTGATACATGTATGTGCTAGTGGCAACTCAAATTCTCTCAGCAGCATTGGTGTAGATTAGTGGTTCTCAAATGTCATGAGTATGAGAGTCACCTGGATGGCTTGTTACAACACAGATTGCTGGGCCTTATCCCTAAGTTTCTGATTCAGTAGATCTGGAGTGGGCCCGAGAATCTGCATATTTAACAAGTTCTTGATTGATGCTGGTGTTGGTGATCTGGGGACCATACTTGGAGAACCACTGCTGTAGGCAATGTAATTTTTTTTTCACAAGGCGAGAATCTGCATATTTAACAAGTTCTTGATTGATGCTGGTGTTGCTGATCTGGGGACCATACTTGGAGAACCACTGCTGTAGGCAATGTAATTTTTTTTTCACAAGGTAGTTGGCAACTGGTAAACTTCCAAACAAACTGAAGTACAGTTTCTGACAATTTACAGAGTAGTTGTATTGCTGGAAATTGTGTCAAAACCATGCAGAAATACTTTGTTTAGGTTAATAATGGAATTCTAGTTTCTAGACTCACATAGTTAATGAACAGTCTTTGTATATATATGAACGACCAGCAGAACTTGACAGTCCTGAGTGATGCAGGACAGTTTCTTACTGTGTGGAACTGTTATGCTTATTGCATTTCTTGTTCCCACTCATGAAATGCCAGTAGTGCTCTGTGATCATTGTGACAATCAAAAAAGCCCCCAAACTTTCCAAACACCCTGTTCAGGCAATACTGCCACTGTTGAGAATCACTGATGTATAGGATTTGTAGCTGACTTAAACTTCTAACTAGTGGTTTCAGAGTCGAGCTCAAGGCTTTGTGCCTTTGGGCACACAAATGGCGCACTTGAAAGTCCTTTGAGGGTTTTTTTTTTTTTTTGATATTGTGTTACAGCACAATGAGGGAACGAAAGATGAAAAATATAAAGAAAATGGGATTTGTGTATTTTAAAAGCTAATTTTTACATGCAAATGCATGTATGTATATATATTTATATGAAGTCTTTATGTTACGTCTGTTGACATTTCTTGCAAAAGTTAGGTGTCATCTCTTAGAAATGATTCTTGCTTTGAAAACATTTTTATGGAAAAACAAAACATCATTTTGATTGCCTGCATTTATAATTATAAGATCATAACCCTACATAATTAAATGTGGGTGATCTATCTTTTCCTTCTTACAGAATTGGGTGTCCAGTTGAGTTCCCTGATCTTCCACTGTGTAGTCTCTTCAGGGCACTCATTTCAGGATGACACTGAGGAAGTGAAGTGTGTAGCCAATCCCAGTGTTTTTTTGTGGAAAATGTGCTTTCCAATTCAGACCAGATTTGACTTGTCTTACTTTAATATAAAGTTGGATTGTGTTTTTTAAGTAAAAAACAAAAACAGCAACACCCACAAAAACCTTCACCTTATTCCTCAAACTCAGCATATAGCCTGGCATATAATAGACATTTAATAAATACTTAATTGAATGAATCTATAGATTGTAATAGTCATTAACTTCTCTAGCACTGGAGTATGAAATAAACTGATGATGATATTTTGAGTTACTTATTTCACAGGAAGATATCACATTTGTTTGGTTTAAATATTGAAAATCACTGATTTATATACTTTTAACCATTTCAGGGTGGATTCATGCTGTGCTTACTTCTCAGGACTGTATGGCTTTTGGGGGGAACTTTCTGCACAACCTTAACATTGCCATGCAGCTCAGGTTTGTGTCATCAGAATTTAAAGGATATTTTGTCCTTTCTCAAATAGGATATTTTTGTTTATTTAAAAAAAAATTCACAGCATATTTTATTTGAGATCCCATGGAGATAGACCCTGAAAAATGATTATGAATAGGAACTTTTAACAAAATTATTGTTTTAAAATTTTGTCAGGAAGATACCTTAATGCATTTCAAATCTAAAACAAAAAAAGTAACTTATTCAGTTTGATATCTCCTGAAATTTCAGAATTTTATTAAAAGTTATGTGCTCTTCTTTGGCTATTTTTGCAATGAGGGAAATGAACTAAATTCAGTCAGACTCAGGTATAACATATGGTCCCCTTCTGTATCAGAATTTGACCTTTATGTAACTGTTTCCCTGGTAGTGTAATGAGGGTAGAATGTTTCTAGGCAGCATTGTTTATGGGTAGAAATGATTCCTGAATGATAAATTGTATTAGGACTGGGAAATCTCGAAATATCTGGTAGGAAGCTGTATCTTTGGGGTTCCTTGACTCTGGTTACTCTTGTAACATGGCATGCCCATGAGGAGCCCTGGAAGCCATGCATCTGTGGAGTTATTACAAGAGATAGCAGCTCTTACAGGGCATGAGGTTTCAAGCCAAGGCAGCTCCCACACTTACCAAGTGTGGATCTCGTCTCTTTGTAACTGAGCTGTCACTGGGGTAGAGATGGCTTCTGCTATATGGACTCCACAAGTTCCTGTCTTCTCACCTTGACTAATGCCAAGCGTGATCTTGGGTTTGAATGCTTAGTAGAGCCTAAAGAAAACTCCCTGCGTGGGTATTGCAGTGTTGTCCAACACATGGACCTGTTTTTATTTATTACAGTGGAACCCTCGTAAAATCACTTTTGTTAAATCTAGTATACAAATATCAAGGTGTGATCTTTTATGATGCCCAATGTAATTCTTAAGCAGACTTATATTTGTTGGCATCAGAACCTGGATAAGATCCCAATTCAATCTTGTCCAAATATGGTGTCTAACTAATTATTATACAGTACTTGATTGGCCTTATATATCATGACCTGCCTATTTTATTTTCAAGTTGGTTACCTTCATTTAACTTTGAAATGCTAATATTAATATTAAATATATTTCTTCAAATTTTATTCATTTAGGTGTTATGAGATGGAGAAAAGGCTAAAAACACCAGATCTTTTCAAATTCCCTTTCTTCGAAGCCATATGTTGGTTTGTAGCCAAAAACTTGCTGGAAACCCTTAAAGGTAATTAATAATTTATACATTTAGTTGAACGTTTTGATGTATAAAGTTTGTAAGTTCACTAAAAGCCATGTGACAGAAAGAGTCCCTCTTCTCGTAAGGTACGATGTCACCCCTTGCCAGGAACTTTTTTAGTAAATTAAAGTCAGTAGTCCACAGACTAACAACCTGTGCTCTTAAAAATCAGGTATATGAAGGCCTGCATCAGAATAGCATAGTTAATATTGGAAAATGTTCATTTCATCTAGTACTCTAGTAGCCTGAACGTATTATCAAGCATGTAAAAGTGCCTCACTCTCAAAACGTAGTTTATGTTGAGAGACTGTTACATAATATGTGTTCCCAAATATTTGCTTTAAAAAATAAAGGGAATAATTTTCATGTCCTGAGAAAATCAGGTAATGCCTATGCCATCACCATTATGACCTTTATGCTGGCTGGTAAAATTCAACTGTTAGCATGAAAACCAACTAAATGTCAGGTTATGATTCTGTAGTTGAAGAAAAATACTTTTTGAATATTCCTTTATATAAACTTAAAAGCTGTTTTTTTAAATGTGGTATTTAAGATTTTGATGTTTTTATATTTTGGTTTAATAATCTTTGAGCAGTCAAATTGGAGGATGAATGTTACTTCTATCCATTTTGTGCTTTTCACGCACTTGTGCCAGTGAAAATATGATTTAGTTTTTGTGTTTTGTAGCTTTTCTAGGAAGTCTGCTAATAGTGCTACTATTATAATTATCTCTCAGAAGAACAGATATAAGCAGATTAAACAGTAAAGTTTATTCTGAACATTCGTGGGTTTTTTGTTTTTTTTTTTCTATTTAAAAGTTATACAAGAAGAAAAGGTAAAATGAAAAGAAATAACCAAAAATTTACTTCTCAGGATAGCGTACAGAACTAAAATGATAAAACTCATGTATATCTGTTTCCTCAAAAAAAAACCCAACAAAACCATGATACCCTAAACCTCACACTTGCAGCACAGTATAGAGGGAGATGTCTCGCCAGTGCTGCAGGTGTGTATGATGGAGGTAGGATCTCATGGACAAGGAGAACAAGTCTTTTCTTCACAAGACCAGTCTTTGCTCCAGAAATGAATGCTTGTCATGAATCCCTGACTCCTTCAGTGTTTTCAGGTATTTTTCTTGGCTGGAAGTATGTCACAGTGGACTGTAGAGTTGCTACATATAGTTTCCAGTAAAATACAGGACAGTAAAGTTAGTAGTTTTCTATCTGAATACTATCCTAGAAAAGCAGGAACACTTACACATCCGTATAAAAATACTTATAAATGTCCTTGACTTCTGGAAATAAAACCCAACTACTGAACCTGCCAGTTATGAGATTGGCAATTTATTATTGGTTCATTGTACCTTCTCCCATCTTTTCTCTGCTTCTGTCCCAAGACCCCAAGTTTCTATCTTGTGATTAGCTAGGAGAAACCATCCACTAACATGCACCCCTCGGGGGTGTTGCACAGTGGTCTTCTTTTTCTGAATGTCTAAGGATCATCAGTCAACTTTTTAGAGCAAATTAAGAGTTTATCTGAAAGACAAATTCTTGCTGTAACTCTTAAAGCCACAGCAGCAATTTGTTTAGTCTTAGGAATAACTACAATTGGCCCTCCTTATATGTGAGTTTTTTGTATTTGGATTCAATTGAAAATATTTTTTTAAAAAATTGTGTCTGTACTGAACATGTACAGACTTTTTTCTTGTCATTATTCCTTAAATAATATAGTGTAACAACTATTTACAGTTCATTTACATTGCATTAGGTATAAGTCATCTAGAGATGACGGAGGATGTGCATAGGTCATATGCAAATACTATGCCATTTTATATCAGGGACTTGAACATCTGTGGATTTTGGTGTACATGGGAGGTTCTGGAACCAATCCTCTATGGATGCCAAGGGACAACTGCATTTCTTTGTGTTAGGCCATCAAGAGTTCAGAAATATTGAGGTCTGATTATAAGTAAGCATGACCCTATACGTTAAAGATTTTTTAAAAAGGATTACTATAAAAGGGTATTTGTAAGTTGTTTTAAAGTGTTTCATTTTATCAGCCAGATCAGTACAGGATACCTGGCAATACTAGTGATTAAATTTAGTCCCACTGAGGCTACAGCCAAATGACCATTATAGAAATTGCCATTGTTCTAGGCATTCATCCTGGAAGCAGAAATAAACCCCACAGTATGTTGTTTCCCATGTTATGTTGCTCTTTCATTCCTAACATTTTTGCCTTCTACTGTGGCCTGTTTGCCAATTCTCAGACTGTTATAAGGCTTATATGATGGGTTGAATGAGAGTGGATTGTGTGAAACTCTTAACTGCATTTCATGTCAGTGATAATAAAACAATGAACTAGTTTGGATTTGTGTAATTAGCCACTGGGCAGAAGTGAAATCTTTTGCTTTTGCCTCATCTTAACTTGAATTTTGGACCACATCTAATATATTTTGCTTGAGTTTTAGATAATCATAATTTGGTTTAAAAACCCAAAAAGGACACTTGTGCGTCTGTTTGTATTACTTTTACAGTAATGAAATATGTTGTACACATAGTTCGTTCTACAGATCAAACATACACACACACACACACGCTGCATACACACACACACACACACTCTTGTACAGTTTAAAGAACACTCTTGTACAGGCTATTATTACTTACATATAATCCAAACTCATCAGGTAACCACTACCCAAGTTAAGCAAAATAGCCTGGCCAATCAGTACCTTAAAAATGCCCTCTTACCTTTCCCATTACACCCTCTTCCTTCCCTTCTTGAGATAACCACTATCCTGACTTTTGTAATAATATTTTCCTTCAATTTTACCACCTGTCATGAACTAAAATAGTTTCAGTTTCTCCATTTCTAAACTTCATATGAATAAATTCATGCTGGTATTCTCTTATGACCTGTCTTTTACACAGCACTGAGATTCATCTGTGTTTTTGTGTGTCGCTGTAGTTCTTTCTCATTGCTGTAGTACTCTGTTGTATGAATGTACCATCCATGGTTTATTACCTATTCTACAGTTGGACACGTTGGGGTTGTTCTCAGTTTTTGGCAATCATGGAAACTGTTGCTAAGAAGTCCTTGTCTGTGTCACCTGTTGTAAGTTACTCCAGAGAATAAACCCAATTTCTAGGTCATAGATAGAAATTAGTAGCAGTTGCCAAGTTGTTCCCAATTCCCATTTCCATGGCAGAGTTCCCAGTGCTCCACACGGTAGCCAACACGTGGTATTGTTAGGCTTCAATTTTTGCAAATCTAATGGGTGTGAGGTAGTATTCCTTGAAATGCTTTTAATGAGCAATTTCCCTGAGTATTAATGTAATTGAGCATTTTTTTCATATATGTATTGGCCTTTTGGATTTTGTTTTTACTGAAGTAACTGTTTAGGTCTTTTGCTAATATTTTAATTTTGTTGTTTCTTTTTATACTGATGTGTAAGAGTTTATATATTCTAGGTTCTAGTCCTTTCAGTAATATATGTTACAGATATCTTCACCTCTGACTTATCTTTTTGTTCTTTATGGTATTTATTGAAGGACAAAAATATCTTAATTTTAAAATAGTATTTTTTTCAGCTTTTATGGTTAGTGCTTTTTGTGCCTTGTGTAAGTAGTTCTTTTTTATCCCAAAGTCTCACAGATATTCTTTGTCTTCTAAAAGATTTTATAGTTTTGTGTTTTGCATTTAGGCCATCAACTCTTCGGTAATTGATTTTTTTTGTGGATGGCAGAAGGAAGGGGGTATATTTTCAGTTGTTTTCTTATAAATATCCATTTGTCCCAGCACTGTATTTTGAAGAGTTTAATTCTTTTTCTGTTCTTGATGAACACCATTACTGTCCTATATCATGAGTTGGTATATGTGCAGGTCCTGTGGTGTACACACACATACTTACTAAGTCACTTTACTGTTCTAATGGGCTGGTAGTCTGTCTTTTCACCAAGCACACTATCTTATTAGCATTATGATAAGACTTGATATCTAGTAGGTCCTTCTCTTTTATTCTTCGAGTATACCTTGGTTTTCTTTGCCCTTTCATTTCCATACAAATTTTTTAGTTTGCTTATTACACCTCCCCCCCTAAAAAGCAAACAAGCAAGTAAAAACATGGGGATTTTGATTTAGAAAATGTTGAATCTAGAGATCAATTTTGGTTAAATTCTACATCAATTATATATTGAGTTTTCTAAAAATGATCATGGGGCATCTCTATTTATTTAGGTCTATTTTAATGTCTTTTGGAGTTTCATACTTTATTTGGTAAAAGTCTTGTACTTATATCTCTTACTAGATTTATGCCCAAGTACTTCATATTTTTAGTGCTATTATAAATAACATATATTACTATTTTTATTTATATAATCACATACATATTGTTCAGCCATATGAAACTGTTTTTGTATTTCAAAAATGGTCATGAAAATATTATGACAATGTTAGCAATTTCATATAGTTCAATCTGACAACCATGTGGTGCTGGAATACATAGAAGCAGTTAATTTTTATATTGATTTTGTATCCAGCAACCTTATTAAAAACTGTTATTTAATAATTTATTTGAGGATTTTGGGGGGGGTTCTAATATACAATCACGTATATCCTTAATAAATAATGACAATTTTGTTCCTTATTTTTGCTGCCTTACTAGGTTGTCTAGGACCTCCAGGGCAATGGTGAATAGAAGTGGTGAAGGTGGGCAGCTTTATTTTGTACCCAGTCTCAGAAGGAAAGCTTTCAACCTTTTACCATTAAGTATTATTTTAGCTGTAGGCTTTTTGTTAATAACCTTTATCAGGTTTAGGAAGTCCCTGTCTTATTCTAAGTTAGGTAAAAGGTTAGTTTTTTCCTTTTTTTAAATGATCAGTGGTAGTTGAATTTTATCTAAAGCTTTTCTTGCATAAGTGAGATAGTCCTGTGATTTTTCTCCCTTAATCTTTTAATTTAGTGGTTATATTAATTGATTTTCTGATATTAACCCAACCTTTGTCTTGTTAAGTTATAATTTTTATATACTAGTAGGTTAGGATTTTATATTATATCCTACACATATTTATATGTTATATATATTCAGTATATGCAGAATATATAAAATATATTCTATGTAAATACAAGGGTACTTTAAAAAGTTCATGGATAGATTTGTGTTATCTTTTAATTCTATTTTTCCATAAACTTTTTGCAGTACCCTCATATATAGAATATATATATATATTTATATTGCTTATAAATGTCTGCATATGTGTATTTTTTTTTTCTTTTGGCACATAAGTAAAATTGGCCTATATTTTGTTTCCTCATACTGTCCTTGTTAGATTTTGGTATGAAAGTTATGCTAGCCTCAGAAAAAAAGTTGAGATTGTTCTTTCTCTTTCTGATCTCTGGAAGAGTTTATATATGATTAGAATTTGTTTCTTTCTTGACTGATTGATAGAACTCAATGATGAAGCCATCTGGATCTATAGATTTCTTTGTGGGAAGATTTTTGACTGCTGAGTCAATACGTTTAGTGATTATAGGATTATTAAGGTTTTCTAGTTTTATTGAGTCCATTTTGATTAATTTCTGAAAATGTGTCTATTTCGTCTAAATTTTTACATTTGTTGGCATAAAATAGTTTATGTTTTTCTCTTAACTTATATCTGTAGCATTTGTAATGATGTCTCATTTCTCATTCTTGATACATAGTATTTGTGCCTATTTTCTTTTTTTATCACTTTTATTACATTTGTAAAGAACCAGTTTGAGGCTTAATAATCCTCTCTGTTTTCTGTTTTGTTGATTCTTGCTCATTATTATTTTTTCTTATTTTGTTTTTAAACTTTTTAGTGGGTCATCAGCTCATTAATTTTCAGTCTTCTTTTCTTTCTTTTTTTTTTTTTTTTGGCAGCTGGGCTGTATGGGAATCTGAACCCGTGGCCTCAGTGTTATAAGGCTGCGCTCTAACCAACTGAGCTAAGTGGCCAGCTCCAACCTTCTTTTCTAACTTAAGCATTTAAGGCTGTATATTTCCTGGTGTGTATAGTATACCACACATTTTGATATAATATTTTCATTATTGCTTAACCAACATATTTTCTGATTTCCAGTATGTTTTTCTTTGGTACAAATGTTGTTTAGCAGGCTATTTCTTATCTGTGTTTCTTAATTTCTAGACATATAGGCCTTCTCTGGCTATCTCTTTGTTATGATTTCTGTGTTATAGACTTCTAACTTAATTGCATTGTGAACATATATATGATTTAGATCCTTGGACATTTGTTGAGATTTGTTTATGGCCCTGGGAATATGGATGATTTTTGTAAATGTTTTGTGTATGTATGTTTGAAAAGAACGTGTATTCTGCAGTTGCTGGATACAATGTTCTATTTGGTCACTAAATCAAATTTTATATTGTTCAAATTGAATATATGTCTACTGATTTTTCTTTTTAATCTACATATGCTATCATTTACCAAGAGAAATACGTTAAAATCTTCTACCGTGATTGTGGAGTTGCTTATTTCTCTTTGTAGTTGTGTCTAGGTATTACTTTCTATATTTTCAGGCTATGTTATTGAGTATAAATTTTAAGTGGTTATATCTTTCTGGTGAACAGAATCTTTTGTCATTATGAAATGAACCTTTATTAACGACAATCTATTATTATAGCTATACCAGCTTTCTTTTGAAAGCTTAGTATCTTTTTTATCCTTCTATTTTAAAGCTTTCTGTATTTTTTTTATATGTGCTTTTTTTTGGGTGGCTAGCCTGTAGGGAGATCTGAACACTTGACCTTGGTGTTATAACTCTGTGTGTATTTGTAGTTTATTTTTAAGTCCAATGGAGCAATCTCTCTTTTTACTGGAGCAGTTAGTACAATTACATTTAATGTAGTTCTATTTCTTTTCCTTTCTTGCATTTTGAATTGATTGTTTGAATTGAATCTACCTTTTTTGTTTATATTTATTTTTCTTTATATTAATTATACAGTTTGATATTTGGTGGTTACTCGAAATCTAAATAGTCCTTTTTCTTCAGAATACTTTAACTCCTTTTCCCACCCCACTTCCATTCCTACAGAATTGAAAGAAGATGGTTTCCAGCCTCAAACTTACCTAGTACAGGGAGTGAAAGCACTGCATACTGCTTTAAAATTATGGATGAAAAAAGAAGTAAGTCATTTTCTTTGGTGAAATCGTTGTTGTTTTTTATGTGGCAAGGTCAGGAAAACTGAGTCCTTCTGCTGTTTTGGCAGCACTTGTGAGTACCAGTAGTAGAGGGAATGGAAATCATGCTTTAAATACAACCTGCATTTCATTATACAATATATACAAATGTATTGGTTTCTGTTTATAATTATGAGAATAAAACACTTAGGTATTTCTTTAATCTTTAATCTGGAAGAGAAAGTAATGCAAGTATATTTAGGATATTGACTAAGAAATGAACACGTAAATATAGAATAGTAATGAATAACATTGAGCTCTCATATTGTGCTAAGCATTGTGGTTAGTCTTTATACACATAATCTCATTTAATCCTCACAGCTACTATATGAGGTCTGGGTGCTATTGGTACCCGCATTCTACATATTGGGAAAGCTGAGGTTCAAAGAGTTTTTTGAGTAACTTGCCCAAGAGAACTAACTAGTAGACTTAAGACTTAAATCTAGGTCTCTAGGACTGCAAAGCCTATGCTCTTTACCACTCTGCTAGACTAATGTAAAAATGAAGGAAAGGAAAGGTCAAGGTTCAAGCATGAACTTTCTATTTTTACTAAAAAGTGGACCTGTTGTTTGCATTTGAATCCCACCACTTCCAAGAGGTTATCCCAGATTTCCATTTGGAATTAGTGTTTTCTTCCTTTATTTTTCCATAGCATATTTCTTGTGCCAGTGGACTTAAAATTAGTGTATATAACGTAATGTATTCATATCTCCTTAACTAGGTTTATGAGTTCTTGAAGAACAGAGACTCTATTTTTCTTATCTTTATTTCAACCCCATGGAACTTTGCACACCATACATTAATAAATGATAAACATGTGAGCAGATGAAAATACATGTTTATGTTAATTTCTTACATGTTCACTTGAAATAAAAATCCTGCTCTTAAGAGATATTGGGAAACAGTAATTAATAGGTTACCATCCCAATAATTTAATACTCCCTTTCACTTTATTTCATTGCTACATATACACCAGAACAAGGCACTGTGGAAGTATTCAGAAAAATAAAAATTATGCTTTCCAGTATCTAAGATTCATCATCTAGATGACAAGGAAAGATATAAACAAAACTATATAACAAGATAAAAACAAAATAAGTCATATGTTGCAAAAATTGTGTAATTTTTGTTTCCTGATGAAGGCTTTAAACAAATTTGTACGTTTATCAGATTTGCCTTTAGAGCCTTTTAAAAATAAAATCCCTGGATCCTCCTCTAGAATATTTGATTTAATAGATTGGGGTAGGATCTGAATCTCTGTTTTTAACAAACTTCATAGATGATTTTGATACATAGTATTTAAAAAATAAGAAATATAGTTAATACATTACATTTGTAGAGCGTTTTTAAAAGCATGATGTTTACATTTAACTGTTAAATTTGCTATAAGATGAGAGGCAGCTAAGCATAGTGGTTAAGAGCATGGATTCTGGAGTCAGACATTTGGATTCAAATCTTAGCTTTGCTATTAATAAACTGTCTTTGTGACTTTGGGAAAACTACTTAGCTTCTGTGCCTCAGTTCCCTCAATTGTAAAATGGGAATAATAGTAGTATCTATGTCACAGTGTTGTTGAAAAGATTAAGTGAGTCAACACTTGTACTCAACAGTATCAGAGTGCAGTATTAGCGTTTAGTATTACTGTTATTAATTTGTTTTAACAAATTATGCTAAAACCAAGAAAGGGTATAAAGCAAAAGTAGAAACTAGTATAGTGTTTCTGTAAAACTAAAATGTTCTTCGATAAAGAGATAAATATTTGGAAATAGACCTAATAAATAATGACAATAGTTTGCAGTTCAGTAGATATGGTAACCCATCAATTTATTTCTCTTTCCAATTGATAGGATGTTTTTCCTATTTTGCGTGTGTGTGTGTGTGTCTCTCCCCCAAGTTTTTTTTTTTTTTTTTTTTTTTTTTTTTGAACTGGTCTGTATGTGGGATCCGAACCCTCGGCAGGAGCGCCCCCGCGCTCCCAAGTGGCGCACTGCAGCAGTGTGCCACCGGGCCGGCCCCCCCCCCAAGTTTTATTTACTTATTTATTTAAAATTTATTTATTGAATCAAAATCGATTATACATATTTTTGGAGTTGAACATTGAGATATGTTGATAAATCAATATTACTAGCATATATATTCTTACAAATTGTAATTATTCTTTATGCCCCTTGTCCCACTGGGTGGGACCCAAGGCATGGCGTGGTGTGCCTGGTGGTAGGAGTGGGGTCCAGTCCCCTTCCCTGTGCCTTGGGTCCCTGGGCTGGCCCTGAGGCACTGGCACAGTTTGCCTGGAAGTGGGAGTGGGGTCCAGTCCCCTGATCCAAGCCTCCGGTTCCCAGGCAGGCCCCAAGGTGCTAGTGGTGGGCCTGGGCCGGAACTAATTTTTTGTCTTTTGCTTCTAATACGGGGGAACTTCCTGTGGGAACCAGTACTTGAGCTGTGTGGTTGTTTAAAGTGCTACTTTGCTGCTTTTTCCCTAGGGAAGGCTTTTTGTGCAGCTCAGCGTTTAATGGTTGATCTTATAGGCACTTCTGGCTCTCCAGAGACCCGGTGGATCTGTGTTCTGTAGAATCTCTGATCTGGGCCTGAGTTTTTTCATCAAACTGCATCCTATGCAGTTCTGCGTTCCTGACCAGTCTCCTCTGAGTGGTCCTGTGCTGATTGGGGGGCAGGTCGGCTGTCCTTGCTGTGTCCCAGTGTTCTCCCGGTGTTCCCATCTTGCCCACTGCCCATGCTCCAAACACTTCCCATGGGATGGGCCCTGCGATGTCCCTTGCGATGACTCACTGGCCTCTGAATGGCTCCCTTTTTTCAGTTGTTCTGGCTCCTTGCTCCTGCATGGGTCCATGGGAAACCTATTAGTGGTCTTGCTGTCTTGGGGGCCGCCAAGGCCCTCTTCTTTCCTGCTGCGTCCAAGTAACTCCATCTGAAGGGCACAGCTGCAGCTTCTCCCAGCTCCTGCTCCAGGCACTCATCAGCTTGAGCCTTAAAGCAGCCGCGACCTGAAATGCTCAGAGCAGCTTTTTCTTTCTCTCATCGTTGTTTCTCCCACCTTCATGAACTCCATAGGTCTCTCCTCTTCTTCCCCTGAGCTCCAGCGGCCCCAGCTTGGCTGATGTTACATTTTTATAGTTGTAAATTTGGTTGATTTGTGGGAGAGAGTGACGCTGGGAACCATCTATTCCACCATCTTGACCAGAACTCCCTGCTTTTGACTATTAAAAGAAAAAGTTTACAAAAATTTATTCAATTAGACTTCCCATGAGAATGTAGGATTGTTAGTGCCTGTGTTCTTCTTAAAAATTTGTATGTATTATGACTTAAATGTTAGGCTTAATTAGCTACTTTACTAATTAGTAGTAGTACAGGTTGAGCATTCCTTATCTGAACTTTTGTTCTGAGAATCTGAAACTTTTTGAGCATCAACATGATGCTCAAGGGAGCATTTTGGATTTTATATTTTCAGATTAAGGCCACTCAGCTGGTTAAGTATCTGCAAATATTCCAAAATCCAAAACACTAATGGTTCCAAGCATTTCAGGTAAAGGATACTTATCCTATAGTTAGAATTACAGTAGGCTTTGAGGTGTAGAGTACAAAGTTACCCAATTAAAGGCAAAATTCACTGAGACAAGTCCATTTTTAACTCAGTCTAAGAGGATTTTATATGTTAATGAGGATCTCCTTAGAAGGTGTGATATCAACTGCATGAACTCTGTATTACTAGTATTTGGCTATGTCTGTAAAGTCTAAAGAACCCAAAAATTGGTTTAGTAAATTCATTTTAACATATTAAAGTGTGAGTAACCCTTGGTTTTCTTATCTTTGTTAATACAAATACAGCTTGTATCTGAGCATGCCTTTGAAATTCCAGACAACGTTAGACCTGGACATCTTATTAAAGAACTTTCTAAAGTAATTCGAGCAATAGAGGTAAGGGTAGAAACGATCTAAATGCTTAGTTACTATCTGCTTTGAGAAGACAATGGATCTACCACCACACTGCAAACATTTGAAAGCTCTTAGACACTTTGAAGAAGTAGAATGAGCTGAGTCTTGGATGGATTTTCAGGTTTTCAGGCTTCTAAAGTCCTGGAAAAAATTTTAGCATATGGTAATGAAATAACAAGGAAGCAGGTTACTTTCAGGTTACTCCAAAAATAAAAAATACAGTATAAATAATACAAATGTCAAATCTAATTTTAGTTTCTCAGATATGAATACATATTAAGTAATTAAGTAATTAGAACAAGAGAAAAAATGCGAGTGAGTAAAGCTAGGGGCATTAGGGTTAGAAAGAAGGATGTTAGTGGTGTGAATAAGGAGACCTGCTTGACTGAAAATGTTTGAGCAACTAAGGTAAATGCCCATTGAAAAAGCCCATAACATCGGTGATTAGGTCTTTTAACTTACTAGTTAAGAGCTATTCTAGGTATTTAAGAAAGGGGGTTTTAACTAAAGTAATTCTTCAGAAAGGTAGTTCTGTTAGTGTCTAGCTTGAATTGAGAGGAAATTAGGTGGAGGCTAACTGGTAAGTTAACAGCTTATATTAGGGCTGTGTTTGGGGAGTGGAAAGTGGTAGACATCTAACAAATATTAAAATGCTGGGTTTAATATCCATGGATAGGATAGTTCATGTAATTCTCAATGTGTTCAGATATAGTAGGATAATATTTTCTGGTTTTTAAAGAGTGACAGTAATTGCATATAAATGGATTTAGTATCAAAAGTCATATCTAAACTTAAATATATGTAAATGTATATACATATATAAATTTCATGCATAACAACCCAAACTAAGAAAGGTGTGAGTTTGTGTGAAGAAAACTATAAATCTCTATGAAGGGAAGTAAAACAATAGTTGAGTAAATGGGAGAGTCATCTCTGAAAATACGTCAACTCCAAGTTAATTCTACAGATTTAAAATAGTAATATACACCTGAAAGAGCAATTGGACTGGTCCAGAGAGCAGCCAGTCCAGAATGGATCAGAATTGAAAGGCTCCGTATTTGTTGTTTATCTGAAGTTCAAGTTTAACTTTGTCTCATACTTTTTCTGGCAATCCTATCCAGGAGGGGATGTCTCCAAGGAAAAATAGAAAATTGATAGATTACCTAATGTGTTTGAATGTTTATATTCTTTTAGTGGAGAATATGGGGATCAATTAGTGATAAACATTTAGAAAAGAAAGTAGATAGGAAGCAAGGCAATTGCAACTCAAGAGAAAAATCAAAGGATGTAAAAGAAAGAAAATGTAATAATAGTATGTTACATGGCACTGGGTTATCAATTTTTACTGAGTGCAATACTGATTACTGAAGGAAATGAAGGTGCGTGTATGTTTAGGAAAGGTATGGGAGGATTAAGACTTCGTCTTGCACAGCAGGAATTCAGTAATATCTGAAGCCGAAAACAGTATAAAAAGGTTATTTAGACATTTGGAGGCAAATAACTGGGAAAAAGCCCACAGTTATAATAAGTTGCAAGTGCTAGACAGATACCCAAAAGAATTGAAAGCAGGGACTGAGACAGATATATGTATACTGTATTCATAGCAGCATTATTTACAGTGGACCAAGCAACCCATGTGTCCATCAGCAGATGATTGGATAAACAAAATGTGCTATATACACACAATGGAATATTATTCAGCCTTAAAAAAGAAGGAGATTCTGACACATGCTACACTGTGGTTGAACCTCGGAGGTATTTTGCTAAAAGTAAGCTGGTCACAAAAGGATAAATATGTGATTTCACTCGTTGGAGGTTCCTAGAGTTGTCATACTCAGAGAGAGAGAGCAAGGGTTTTGGGAAGAGAAAAAAGGAAAGCTATTGTTTAATGAGTACAGAGTTTCAGTTTGCACAGATAAGAAAGTTCTGGAGATAAATGGTGCCAGTGGTTGTGCAACAGTGTGAACTGTTAATGCCACTGAACTGTACACTTGAAAAATGGTTAAAATGATGAATTTTATGTTATATGTATGTTGCCACAGTAAAACAAAAAGGTTGCAAGTGGTTGCCTCTGGAAAATGAGAATCAAGGATGGGGAAGAGTAGACTGCTACTTTTCTTTATAGAGTATTTAATTTTTAAAACTACATAGATGTATGATTTTGGGTTTAAAAAGTAATTATTGATTTATACAAATATGTATGAGAAAAGAATGTTCATCATAGGAAGGAACTGGAGGCAGCCTAAATGGCTACCAGTAAGTATGAGGTCAAATTATGCTATGTCCATACAGTGGAATACTACCCAGCCTTTAATATGATATCAAAAGTCAAGGAAATATGTTCATAGTATATTATGTGGGGGAGAGAAGGGAATTAAGGTCTCAGCCAACCTGTTTGAGGCTCATGATTTGTTTTTTTGTTTGGTTGTTTATATGGTTAAACTGAATGGTGTTTGTTTTCTAAAATATTTTTGTGGCTGATTAGTTTGTCAGGTATGTATCTAGTAGCTGTGTCATAAAATTACTCTGATTCTTAAAGGAGGAAAACGGCAAACCAGTTAAATCTCAGGGAATTCCTACTGTGTGTCCAATTTCACGATCCTCAAATGAAGCAACTTCCCCGTACCATTCCCGACGAAAGATGAGGAAACTTCGAGATCACAATGTCCGAACTCCTTCTAACCTAGACATCCTAGAGCTCCACACAAGAGAGGTCCTCAAAAGATTAGAGATGTGTCCATGGGAAGAGGCAAGTATTATATTTCATAATAACAACATAAACTTGGTTGTTCCCTAAAGTTCTTTTAAAGGGTGATAAAAAGAGAACAGTCTGCTGCTCATTCTTGTCTAATCTCTGTTGTAGAATTGTAGGGGTTGTCATTCAATAGTTATGCCTGTGACAGAGAGAGGCACTTAATCTTTCTAGACATCAGTGTAGAATTAAGAGGAATAGATCTCATTCATTTGCTGATGTGTTTATTGAGTGTTTACCAAGTACCGTGTGCTCCTCTAGGCTCTGAGAAGATGCACGAGTGAACAAAACTTAAGTCCCTGCCCTCATAAAGCTTCCATCCTAGCTCGAGTTGGAAAGATGGGAAGACAGACACATATACTAAAATCATATAATTTCAGTTGATAAATGTTATGAATGAACCCAAAATAACAGAGCAGCAGAATAAACGGGGATGGGGTGGCTGGCTGCATTAGCTAGGGTGGTTAGAGAGCCTCTCAGGTGGTGACGTTTGAACTGACATTTAAATAACAGGAAGAAGTCAAATGGATACACAAAGAAATGAGGAATAGTGTTGCAGGCAAAGGGAAGAGCAAATGCAGAATGCAAATGTTGTTGGGCCAACAGCATCAACCTGTAGGACTGTTAGACTGGCGGACTGTTAGAATAAACCCAGTGATGTTTGAGAAGTGCCAGTCTACTGGCCAAAGAGGAGAGCCGGAGGCAATAATGAGATCAGCATAGTGCCTTTGTAAAACATGGTAACGAGTTTGTGACGCAATCTGTATCATCCATAATTTTACATCTTAAGTAGGATAGGCAGTAATTTAAAATGAATAAAATAGAGGTATCTGTGGATTAAAATATTTAAAGAGGTTATTTAAAGAGGTTATATAGAAATTACAACTTTCTTAAATATTTTGAATTTTATATAATTATATTCTTCAGGATTATGTTGTTCTAAACTTACTTACCTCTAGCCATCTGGGGAAGATTTAGCTCATTGTGAAATATTCTATTTATTATTAAGGAAAAAAATACCATGAAAAGGAAATAGTTTTTACACATCAAAAACTAGCTACTACTGTACCTTTATGTCACATGGTGGCCTTGGTTAGTGGTGATAGCAGTGTGGTGACCTGTCAGTTGCTGACAGTGCCTGGTGGGAGGACTAAATAATAGGTTAAGGATATGGTGGATGGGAAGGCCCAGCAGCTAGCATTTTAGCAGGAATAAGCAAGGGGAAGAGAATTAAAATACCTTAAGGCAGTGCTGCTGCTCCAGCTTTTCAGCTTTCTGCAACAGTGAATTTCTTTGAATTCACTTTATGCAGATTTTACATTCCACTTTATAGAACAAATTTTAGTGTTAATGGCCCTCCAAAATGATGAGCTATACTCACACTTTGGCATTAGGAACTCTGGAGTGCCATACTGCTGCATATCCCCAAGCCCAGGCAGCTGTCTGTCTCTGTGAGCTGCAGGGCCATCAGGAGAGGAGGTGTATACTATGTTCCTTCAGTCAAGCAGGTGTATGTGAGAGTGGAGGTGTTCAGTAAGTTCTGCTTTTATACTTTAAGGACATCTTGAGCTCTAAACTGAATGGAAAATTCAACAAGCATCTCCAGCCATCTTCCACGGTACCTGAATGGAGAGCAAAAGATAATGATCTACGATTACTGCTGACAAATGGAAGAATAATTAAGTATGTAAAGTACATCAAGGTATCAAATAGATTAGTTTTCAGTGGATTCTCTTTGTTAATTTAATCCCTATACTGTTGCACAGCTGACTGAAATATGGGGAAAGTGTCTCAATTCTCTACTCTATTAATTAAGGGGAAGGGAATAATGTTTGGCCACATAGTCTTGCACTGTTTTCTGACTTGATTATTTTCTCCCCATGATACAGAGATGAGAGACAGCCCTTCGCAGATCAAAGTCTTTATACAGCAGATAGTGAAAATGAAGAGGATAAGAGAAGGACAAAAAAGGCAAAATTGAAGATAGAAGAGAGTTCAGGAATAGAGGGGGTAGAAAATGAAGAATCTCAAAAACCAGTTAACAGTATGTTTGTTTTAATGGTCATTTTAAAGGTCTATTTGTTACTAATGTGATCAAGTGTAAAGTAACTTGCTAATTTTAAAGTTCTTAAGTTTATAGTAGCATTGAAATTTTTTGTGTCCCTAAAACTGTTTTGAAAAATCTGAACTATGTCTGAATAGTTCCACCATCAGGGAAGTGCTGAATGAATGCCAAGTGAGGTGTGGTGGCCAGGGAAGGTGTTATCAGTGTGGGTCAGTGATACCCTCTTCCATTTACAGTGTTTAAAGAGTCACATGAAAGCTCATACATTTTATGGGCCTCTACTCCCCAAAATAAAAGTTTCAAGTTTAATGCAATTTTGTGTATCATTTTAGCTAACATGGTTTTCAGAATTAGGAGACATATATAATCGACTGATCTGAAGCTATTAGTAATCCATGTATTGTGGTTTTATTTGATTGCCTGTTGATAAGAAGGCCTCTACTGAGTTATTAATTGGTTATCATCAATATGACAGAATAGTGATACTTCTTTCTTGAGATTTTTCTTCTTTGAATGAAGTCTTAATTTCTCAACTTTTTTCAGGACCATCATTTGCCCTTCTATTTTAAAAAGTAATTAAAATAAGTATTTTGGTACTTGACAAGTAAATGTTCCAGATAGCTAACATTATTTAATACATGTTGAATACCTCAGTTCCTTCTTCTAATTCCAGGTAAATTTGGTATTGCTGTAGTTAGTGACTCTACCTTTGTTTATATGCCAGGAAAAAGTCAGTTAATCAATGGGAATTCATCAAGCAATTGCTATATGGCAGTGACTCATGAAAAAGAAAGGCGGGTTTATAAGCTTATTGAACTCACTATCTACATGAATGCTTTTTAAGTTTAGGAGAGTTATCTTTTATTTTATAATAATAGAACTAACGCAACAGGAGAAGCGAAAAGCCTCTTGGAGCTAATATTAGTTTTGGAAGTTTCTTTTCTGGAAAGAAACATGAAAGAGTCAACTCACCCATATAAGGGATATATTCATATAATCGTGTTTAATAAATACCACACTTATATTTAAGAATGTACTTCAATCTGTGTCTTGGTCAATTAGGGAGAAAGACCTTGTGGGGAGCAGGGGAGATGGAGAAAATAAAAGCAGTGAACAAGGAGGGTAGAGCAGGAGAGATTGAGAAACATCACGAAGCTGAATGGACTTGAGAGGTCACCTTGCCACCCTGCTCATAAAATTCTAAGGACTTTCTCTTTTTCTCTCATCCTTTCCCTTCTTTCTCAGGGTTTTTTACAAGTATAAAATCAGAACTCAGGAATAGATCATCAGAATATTCTGATATTTCTGATTCAGAAGACTCTGGACCTGATTGCACTGCACTGGTATGCCTGAAACCCTGTGACGTGTACATTATTTGATGGAAGGATGAGCATCTGGGAGGAAGGCAAATGACAACTTTTCCCAAAGCTTGTCTGTCTGACCTGTGTAACACAGGGTCTTCCTGCAGTGGTCATTGTATCCATGCAGCATCATGTGACTGTTCACATTTGATAAACGTAGCTTTTGTCTGATTTTAGAAAAGATAGAGGAAGAGTCTTCTCTGCTTATACTGTTTTTATATTTCATTTTACCTTAAAGAAAGCCTAGATTGTGCATTTTTATTAAGGTTTTATGTTACTGTAGTTACTAGAGATTTTCACTTTTTCATATGAAATACAGAAATAATTTCATGATAATAAAGATTCTAAATTTCCCTAGATGTATAAAATCTTTTTTGATTAGTTTGTACAGACTTGGTCAATTTCTTATGTAGCTTTGTTTTTATTTAATTATTTATTATTTCAGAAAAATAATTTTACCACTGAAGAGTCTGAAAGTTCAGGTGATGAAAAGAAACAAGAAATAACATCACACTTTAAGAAGGAATCTAATACGATGAGGAACTTCCTTCAAAAGAGCCAGAAACCATCTAGAAGTGAAATTCCAATTAAAAGGTAGGCTTGCTGATGATAATAGCCTTATTAAATTGTGATGTAAATACTTTGAAAACATTTTTGTAGTTTTAAGTTTTATCAAAAATTTTATCAGAAAAAATAGACTTTTGTTTTTTTGGATTATCTGCTCTTTAGGGAATGTCCTACCTCGACGAGCACAGAGGAAGAAGCTATTCAGGGCATGCTGTCTATGGCAGGGTTGCACTATTCCACATGTTTACAAAGGCAAATACAAAGCACAGACTACAGTGGTGAAAGAAACTCTCTCCAGGATCCCAGCAGCTGCCACAGCAGTAACCATGAGGTTAGGCAGTTGTATCGCTATGATAAACCAGTGGAATGTGGTAAGAAACGTAAATTATCAGTCTCTAAAAAGTGACATACAACCCCCAGTTTAATTGCTCTGTAATCCTAGTTTAGTTTAAAGATTAATGAATAAAGACTGTTTATTGCACATCTTTAGTTGGAAATGGTGTTAAGAATATTGACCAAAAAATACATAATGCTGACAAGTCATGTAAGATTGGAGCATGTGAACTTAAAATGTAAATTACCTGGAATTGAGAATTCTGTTTACTAACATAATTGTACCATTGCTATTGCAAGACAGTATTATTTCTATTTCACCAACAGTTAGGTTGATTGGAAAGAATGTTGTGGTATCTTAAATAGTCTGCTAAACTTGAACAATCACCCCTTTTTCCTTTTATGAGAGAGGAAATAGGTCTTGAACTGTTTCTTTCTGATTGAGGATATTCTTTCTCCTCTTTGAAAAGGAAATATTAGAAAAAGAGAGCAGAATCAATGGCAGCCTCAGTCATACCACACAGTGTTCTCTTCTCTGTGTCTTTAAGGAAAAATTTTGTTTCCCAAAAAGTCTGAGGTGGATTGAGGAAAAGACAGTACATTAAAATTGAATGCCTGAGTAACAGTTGTTTTCAATCACACATAATTAAGTGTCAGCTATGTACCAGGAGCTTGACATTCATTTCACTTAATTCTTGAAACAATACTTATGGTATAGGTAATATCACTCCTATTTTACAGGTAAAGGAAATAAGACTTAGTAAAATTAATTTAACTTGCCCACACTTTACATAGCTATTATTCAGTGGTATTGGAATGTGAACCCAGGATCATATGATTCCAAAGTCTTTGCTTATTGTATAAGGGGAAACTAAAGTTTGGAGAGGTTAAATAACTTGCCTAAAGTTGCATTGGTAATGGAAGAACTGAAACTCAGATCTGGGTTTGTCTGTCATCCACTGCAGCATTTTGTCTTTCTAAGTATGATCTCTTTGGTCCCTTGAAAAGAAAGCTTTTAGGGAAATACTGAAGAATTTAGGCAAGCATCTGCCTTTAGTTTTATATGGGAAAATATACCATTTTTAGGGAATGTGTATTGATTTGGTTTTATATCTGCAACAGGTGGTCATAGAATTTGACTCTAGATCTTCTAGCATCTGGCACAAAACCACATAACAAGAGTCTGAGAGAATTGAAAGAATTAACATGATAGGTTGTGAGCTGGTGACTATTTTATTTTTGTTTGGAAAGGAGTGTAGTGAAGGTGAAGATATGTAAATAAATTGCTGAAGAGTTAACATTTATTTCTTAATAAAATGTCAACATGAATTTGCTTTCAATTTTAAGCATTCGGCTAATTTTGTTCTTTAAGATCAAGTTAGTACAGTGATAATTTAATTAAAACCTCTCTTTAGGATATCATGTCAAGAGTGAAGATCAAGACTCTAGGACTTCTTCCTGGATAAAACAATTTGATACAACTTCCAGATTTAATCCTCAGGTATTATTCAAAGTTTGAAACATTAAAAGATTTAGAATTGTCATTAATTCTGTTTTGTTTCTTCTTTTTTTAAACTATAACTGGTTGTCAACTACAAGACCTAAGAAGCCAAAAAATTACAATTAAATGCACATTTGAAAGACTGTCCATTCTTAGGGATTCTGATATGATGACTAATGCAAGACTCATGGTAGCAGGTGATAGGGAAAAGACTAATTTATTCAAGGAAGCAATTAAAAACCACTGGCTGCCAACACCTGTAGGTTATGTCTGGTTAGAATTAAACATGAAAGGAAGAGTACCATGATGATCTCTCTTTAACTTCTGATGTCGTTTCTTGAACATTTTTAGATATTTTTTTTGAGAATTTGATGAAAGTTAGAGTTTCTTTCCAGAAAAATGTTTATTATAAATACTATTACTTACATTTTCTCATGGTTTGTGCTGCCATCCCCCCAACCCCCTCCCCCGACTATCCATTGACTCCAGGTTAGGAACCTCTACTCTAAGAGAAGAAACTAGATGTTTTAGGATTCCAGCATCTTAAAGTTTACACCAGACAAAATGAACCCAGAATACCATTTTTAAAAAACCAAAACTTTACCAACAGCACCAAACAAGGAAAGTGATAGAACCTTTTACTGCAAACCTTGAAAAATGGCAGCCCAAGAAAGAATGAACATTCTCATGTGGCTAAGTGGGGCCCCTAAACCACCCCAACCCCAAGCATACTTAAGAAAGTAAATCAGCAAAAGAAACAGAAATACTGTCTCTAGTTCTCTCTAGTGTAAAAAAACATTTACCAGGTGTATTAGTCTGTTTATGTTGCTTATAACAAAGTATACAGAACTGAGTGATTTATAAAGAAAATGAAATTTATTGCTTACAGTTTCTGAGTCTGGGAAGTCCAAAGTCCATCTGATGGTGGTGACAGTGACTCAGGGGTCTCACATTGCAAGATGGTAGAAGCAGAGAGAGAGAGAGAAACAGACTCTCCATTTCTTTTAAAGCCCTCAGAACCATGCCCCTGATCACCATTTTTAATCTATTCACTACTGCACGGTCCTACAATCCAATCACCCCTTCAGGGTTCCACCTTTTGATTACCATAATAGGATTTCCCACCTCTTAACAGTCACAGTGGGGGCTAAGTTTCTAATACATAAAACTTGGGGGACACAATTCAAGCTTCAGGGAGTTTTGGGAGTCATAATTCAATCTACTACACCAGGGGTGGGTACATAAGTAGGCAGTTTAAGAAAAAGTGAAGCAAAAATCTCTTGTGAATAAAGCTGTCATACTACTGAGATACTTCAGCAGAAGTGGAAAAGGCTTCTAGGTTTTGCTGTCTTCCAGGGCCCTGGGCTGAGTTGTAATATGGACTAAAACCCATGGAGGAGGAGACATCTATGTATATAGACAGAAAAGACAGTAAGACTCTACCCCTAGATATTTAGCATACTTAATCTCTGAGTGATGGAATTATGAGTGGTTTTTATTTTATTTGGTTCACGTGTATTTTCTAAATATTTAGCAATTACTTTTACAATAAGAAAATGAGCCGAGTTATTTTTTTAAAGCAAGGCTTTGTGAGTACAAGTTCTTTGAATAGAAGGACATGCTCCAGAGTCAAAAGGCAAATAAGAAATCTCTTAACTGTTATAATTCACCTTTTCAGTAAAGATGCTCTTCTACTTAAGATGGGGTTACTACCCGATAGACCCATTTGGAAGTTGAAAATATCTTCAGTCGAAAATGCATTTAATACACCTAACATACTGAACATCATAGCTTAGCCTAGCTATGTTTCTTAAACATGCTTGGAACTCTTACGCTAGCCTACAGTTGGGCAAAAATATTTAACACAAGTGTTGAAGAGCTTATGTAATTTATTGAATACTATACTGAAAGTGAAAAACAGAATGGTTAAATGCGTACCATTGTAAAGGTGAAAAACCTTAAGTCAAACTATCATAAGTTGGGAATTGTCTGTATATGATTTTATAGTGCCTCACTGTATCTGGTTATAAAGCTTATCATTTGTTAGCATTATAGGATTCAGTATTGAAAGTAAGCTATTGTTTAGTGTCAGCTATGTACCAGGAGCTTGACATTCATTTCACTTAATTCTTGAAACAATACTTATGGTATAGGTAATATCACTCCTATTTTACAGGTAAAGGAAATAAGACTTAGTAAAATTAATTTAACTTGCCCACACTTTACATAGCTATTATTCAGTGGTATTGGAATGTGAACCCAGGATCATATGATTCCAAAGTCTTTGCTTATTGTATAAGGGGAAACTAAAGTTTGGAGAGGTTAAATAACTTGCCTAAAGTTGCATTGGTAATGGAAGAACTGAAACTCAGATCTGGGTTTGTCTGTCATCCACTGCAGCATTTTGTCTTTCTAAGTATGATCTCTTTGGTCCCTTGAAAAGAAAGCTTTTAGGGAAATACTGAAGAATTTAGGCAAGCATCTGCCTTTAGTTTTATATGGGAAAATATACCATTTTTAGGGAATGTGTATTGATTTGGTTTTATATCTGCAACAGGTGGTCATAGAATTTGACTCTAGATCTTCTAGCATCTGGCACAAAACCACATAACAAGAGTCTGAGAGAATTGAAAGAATTAACATGATAGGTTGTGAGCTGGTGACTATTTTATTTTTGTTTGGAAAGGAGTGTAGTGAAGGTGAAGATATGTAAATAAATTACTGAAGAGTTAACATTTATTTCTTAATAAAATGTCAACATGAATTTGCTTTCAATTTTAAGCATTCGGCTAATTTTGTTCTTTAAGATCAAGTTAGTACAGTGATAATTTAATTAAAACCTCTCTTTAGGATATCATGTCAAGAGTGAAGATCAAGACTCTAGGACTTCTTCCTGGATAAAACAATTTGATACAACTTCCAGATTTAATCCTCAGGTATTATTCAAAGTTTGAAACATTAAAAGATTTAGAATTGTCATTAATTCTGTTTTGTTTCTTCTTTTTTTAAACTGTAACTGGTTGTCAACTACAAGACCTAAGAAGCCAAAAAATTACAATTAAATGCACATTTGAAAGACTGTCCATTCTTAGGGATTCTGATATGCTCGGCCCTGGGTCTAGGATTTTCTAGCAAACACAGTGGAGATGAACCTTTTTGAAGTGAGGTTCTAAAGTACAGTGCGAGAGGTACATAGGAGCTGTGACATGCTAAGGCAGCAGTAGGTCCACCTCTCTCATCTCGAGTTCCTTCCATGGCACGTGCTCACTGAGTGGAGTGGCAGGCAGAGCACCCCTGCTTATTTTCTCTTTTTTTTCTTGACATAAGTTACAATGCAAATTCAAGGCCTGAATCCTTCAGAGCTATTAGGTGTATGGACTGAGATACCATCATGAAGGGGTGGTTGTGGCCAAGACATGTTAAGAAAACTAAAATTCAGTAGCTTATTTGTTCTCTCACTTGACTTTGCTACTAATACATAGAGAGCTTAAATGCCTCACTTATTTTAAACCCTGAAAATTCAGCCTTATTTTCTTCCTTCTTCAGGATCTAAGTAGAAGCCAGAAATGCATCAAAAAGGAAGGTTCATCAGAAATCAGTCAGAAGGTACAAAGTAGGAATAGTGTGGACAGCAGTGGCTCCAGCCTTCAGAATGGAAAGTATATGCAGAATTCAAGCTTGATTTCGGGGGCATGCCAGATAAGTAATGGCAGTCTAAGCCCAGAGAGGCCAGTTGGTGAAACTTCCTTCTCAATACCCCTTCACCCCACCAAGAGACCTGCGTCAAATCCACCACCTATCAGCAACCAGGCAACGAAAGGTAACTTTTACACATTTGCAGATTAAGTACATTTCTGATTGTGTGTGATGGTAATAGTGGCAGTTTACATGTAGTCTTCAAACTCAAGTTGCTCACCATCTAGTGCACTGTGGACAGCATAGTGATAGCAATATGTGCAAGCTACTATGGGAACAAAGATGCAGGATACCCAAGTCAACCTTGAGGATCAGGACTGACTTTCTGAAGAAAAGAATGAGGTAGATCCTAAAAAAGGATAATAAGGGATTAGCTGGGCTGAGTTGGGAGAAGTGACAGAGTAGACAGCGTTAAAGGCAGAGGAGAAAGCACAGCCCAAGGCACAAAGGTGAGAAACGGTATATGGGATATTTATGAAGTTGCAGTCAGCCTTGTTGCTGAGGCACTGTTTGATGTAGGATTTGGTTAGAGCTCATGCCGAAGGGCTAGACAGAGATCAGACTTTGGGAAGGCCTTGTAAGTCTTGTGAGGGAGGTTGGCCTTTATTCCTAGTGTGACTATGTGCAAGAGTTTTAAACAGTGGAAATCCAAAAGCGTGACTTTGTTCATTCAGAACACCTAAGAGTTACCATAAAGCTCTCCTTTAAGTCTTCCAGGTGCTGTTCGTCAGGTGTGCTTTTCATTATTATTTATACTGTCGTTGGTCTTTTATAGGTAAACGTCCAAAAAAAGGAATGGCAACAGCCAAACAACGTCTTGGGAAGATCCTTAAGTTGAACAGAAATGGCCATGCCCGTTTCTTTGTGTGATAGAGCTGCCACTGCAGCCACTCTTGCCTTTGGAGACCAGTCTCGGGGGTGCAGGAGCCTGGAGCAGTCTGCGTGTACAGTAAGGACACTGCCCGAGGAACAGAAGGAGCCGCTGCTGCGTTTTCACTGTGCCACGCCCACTCAGCAATAACCAGTATGGACCTACCTGGTGGGGGAGAGGAAGGAGGAGGGTGGAACCTTAAAAAGAGACCTCGAACTGGAAAAGGTCTCTTGTCAGGGCTTGAATTTCATTTTGTCATTAGTAGTGTCTTGATTTAATTTCAGTGGTAGGGTAAAGAATTATCAATAATTTATTTAACAGATTTTTTTTAAAGTTAACAGCTTTTAAATTCTTTCTTTTTTAAAGCTATTTATTTGGAAGATTTCTGAAGAAATATCTCACTAATTTAGATTTAAGAATGTGAAGGTTTTTAAATTATTTTTGATAGTGTGTGTGTTACATGTGGGAAAGAGCCACAGTAACAGTAACTAGTCTGGACTCTTAAATTTGATATTCAGGTTAAAGTCTTAAACAGGGATTTGATGCATTAATTATTTTAAATTAAGATGTATATGAAAATCATTTTATTTTATATATTTCATGTGTTTTTTATAAGCTATTAGCTTCGCTTTTGCTAACATCCAAGGTGCATACTGTTATCCAGGTTGATTACCTTCTGTCTCACCTTCCCTCTGCACTCCTCATCATTTTGTGACGACCCAACAAGACTTCTCGTTGCAGGGAAACACTTTCGTAGCCAATGTGTAAGAACTCCATAAAAGATCCCTCATTTCCCACTTAGTTTGACATTGTGATTTTCTTCTAAATACAAAAATATGGGCTTCTTGCATTTTCATTTTGCTGATGATATCTGGGTCCCAAAGAGAACAGCTTTAATATCTTTTTCCTACTTGTGGAAAAAGTATTAAAGTTTGGTTAAATTGTCATGTTTGTGGTTTTTCCAAATACATGTGTAACTATGGAGAGCCTTCTTCATACTGCTGGTTTTGGAGGACAGGACCGATGCCTGCTACAAAGGTTACCTCTCACAGTGCTTTTTATTCTTTAGACCTAATTTGTTGGAAAATATGATTTGACTTAGGATATTCAACTCTGCATAATAAGCCGTAATATAATAGGACTATACTATATTAAGTTGTATAGAAGCAAGCATGTTGGAGTAGATCTTTTGTGTGTGTGTTTACTTTTTAATTTTTAACCTTCTAAAGAATTATTTATGATATGGATTTGAAGTAAAATAGGTTCTTTTTGCAGTTTCTTCCATCTGTCCTAACTTGACCAGTGCAAATTGAGGTTAGGTATCTGGTTGAACTTTAAGGTAATCATTTATCTCCTTTATGTTCAATTTTAACTAAATGCCAGTTTTCAGTTGCTTGTAATAGCTTCTGTTTCCCCCTTTTCTCCCCATGGCATAAAAATAAATTATTTCTGGGGGTGGGGTGGAAATATTCCCAAATCTGACAATAGAGCATTTTACAAATTCCTACTAAGAAAATACAGGCAAACAGAATAAAATTAATTTTTGTGGAGAAGAAATATGGCCATATTACAGATTTGTCTTTTTTTATTCAGCAAGGTAGTGGGACTTTCCCTTCTATATTAAGCAACACTTAAATTGCTAAGGAAAAAAATCAATACCATTGTCTTTCATGGTTCTATTCAAATGTGTATTTTCAAAGAGAAATATTTCATACTCTGTTTCCATTCCAATATTTTATGGGATAAGTATGAAATAGCTTCTGAATCAGCCTTTTTGGTCCAGAGTAACTGGACCCAAATTGGAATCTTATCTGGGTGTTAAGAAGAATTTTTATGGAAATCCTCAATGTCTATAAGTGGCCTACTTAAACCCTTGTCTACACTATGCCAAAACTTAGCAGAGAGTACAGTCAGTCTTCGAGTGGTCATCTTATGTCAAGATGCAGACATATGGGTTTGACTGATTCCCCCACCTTTTCACACAGTATATTACTATGATGTCTTAGTTTTCAGTATACTGTTTTAGTGTTACAACATATGTACTTTTATTTTGGCTTAAGAAATAAGTACTATAATTTCTTTTTCCATTTACATCATGATCTGGGTTTTGTTTTGTTTTTTCTTTACATTTTCTACCTTTTTAATTACCCTTTTTTTTTAGCCATAAAAATTAAAATAAAACAATTTATTTTTATGAATTAAAGTCGTGGCCAGTATCCACCCCATGTCCTTAGGCCAATAAACACAAATTCTGTGTAGACAGTATTGTTTTGTTTTTTCTTTACATTTTCTACCTTTTTAATTACCCTTTTTTTTTAGCCATAAAAATTAAAATAAAACAATTTATTTTTATGAATTAAAATCGTGGCCAGTATCCACCCCATGTCCTTAGGCCAATAAACACAAATTCTGTGTAGACAGTATGTGGATTTTTAAGTAAAGGTACTTTGGATTCATTTTTGGCAGTTTTAGCCCATTAACTGGCTCAGTTACAAAACTTTCAGCAAGGTAATAAAACTGCTGTAACAGAATACATGTATCTTTTTCTGAATTGGTGGAAAGTCAGCCACTGACCCTGTAACTTTCCTACTCAAACCTCTTATAAAGTCACTGGCAATGATGCATCCCTTTATCTCATGGAGATGGCTGAATTTTGAGGTAGCTGCTGCCAGTATCATCTGGGCTCAAAAGTAATAGACAACTTTTTGTCTTCCCCTTAGTCTCATTTATAAACACCTACCGCATAGACACCATAACTTAGGAAGACAGCAATTATAGCATTTAGCTTGTTGTAGGCAAATACAAATATGTAAAATTGAGAATTGTGATTTAACATATGCAACTTTAATGGTAGTATTAGATAATTATCCTGTATTGATTCAAATAAGACCTGGGATCCACTTACTGTAATTCACAACATCACATGATATTATGCCCTCCAGTATTGATGAATGTTATAAACAATACAAAGCTAGCAATTTATAATAGTTCAGTATCCTAGGAATACATAAAACTTCGTAAGTATCAGTTCATTTTTAAAAGCATACAAAATTGAAGACTCTGACCAAAATCATAAACTCAGAGGGAAAACAAGTCCTTCTTTATCCTTCATTAAATACTTAGCTTGAGGAATCGTTCTTTTTTCTAATACTCCTAATTACTGCCTTTTCAATATACTCTACTGTATTTATTCATATGAGATCAGCAGGTATTTATCAATATCTACTTTGTGCCCAGCACTACTTAGTACTATGGGGGAATATAAAATTGCAGTCGTGGTCTCTGTCCTTGAAGATATCTTCTCCATGAAATTAGCAATGTTATTTTCACTTCTAAGCAAACTTTAGCAAAAGAGGGCCCATTCATAAAAAACAGCATTAGTTTTTTAGTTGCAAAAGATCTGATTTATTTTTTAAAATTTAAGAAACATTTCAAAAGTTAGTAATTTAATGATGGTAATGTAGGGGCACAGTATAACATGGAAGGAAGCAGAAGACCAGGGTTTTGTCCAAGTTCTGCCATTTATGTATCAGCTGTGTGACCTTGAATAGGTCATTTATTCTTTCTGAGTCTTAGTGTTCTCATTTGTAAGTTTGGATAAAAATGCTTATTATGATAATCAGTTAAGGAAAACATGGAAAAGCATTCCTTACTCTTCATACTTACAGAGAAATTATCATTATTTAAGTTATAACTGATAGTGAATGCACCTTTATATACATTTTTTTCATGAAACTGCTATTACTCATAAAATTTATTTTATATCAAATATATGCCCAGGGTATGCTGTCTAAAAATCTGAAGAATCTCTAACAAGGTATTGAGTTAAAATCAGATTCCATGCTTGAAGTGAAAGAAAAAAGAAGTGAGATAGTTTATGGATAAGAATGAGAATGTTTATCCTCAAGTACATTAAGATGATATAAAGTAATCGAGAGAGAGTGAGAGAGAGCTTTAGGTTTAGGGATTAGAATAGTACTGCTCCACAGATTCACTATAACTCTTCATGTACTAGATAAGGGTGAAATAAGTCATGGAATTAAAATGATAAAGCAACTATCCATGGAACTAGGGGACAAAATAAGGTGATTGAAAAGTTGGGAATTTGGAGACAACTATGGGTTGGGGAACAACAGCTTGTTGGGTAAAGAGAGAAACCACAGTAGTAGTGTAGGAAAGGAGACTCGACTGGACGCCTTCGACAGAGAAGATACTTTGTTTTCAAAAGATGCTCTCTATAGTGATGAGACTAGAGTTGATTGGGATAAGTATGACCCAGTATAGATTTTGCATTGAGAGATGAAGGCCTTCATAATATAAATCGAAAAGTTTTTCAAAAATTCATTTTCTCATTAAATATTAAGCTATTTTTTCCCTATATAAAGAGAAACTAAAGCTCACCAGTTTTTTCCTGATGTTCTAGACCTTCATCTAAATCAATCTTGAGAAGGTTGAGCATCAGATCTTCAGCCTAAGAAAAGAGTGTTGCTGGTAAATAAAGGAGACAAATGAAACTCATATAGGGCAGTCATTTGCCTGGGGACACAGTGGATCTGGGACCTCCAGTACCTTGCTTCCTAAAACAGGCTTTATCTGTTCTCTGACACTGTGCAGCCTCTGCTTGTCCTGTGGTGGTGGATGATGTGCTTACTTGATACCAGGTGGAAAGAAAGGGGAAAAATTAATATATTCACTATATTGCTGTTGGATGTAATGTAGTCTTAATACTATAGCCTTACTAAAAACCCTTCCCTTATTTTAATTTGTTTTTTAGTGAATGTTGTGCCATAAGTCAAATATTTGTTGATATCCCTTACATGAACAAATTTTAAAAATTAAGGTCATTAAGAAGTAAATGCCTATTTCTAAAGTAATCAACTTATTGTGATCAACTGTAGTTTTATTCTTCTGTAGCATTTTTTCCTCTCTAATGGAGAGGAGAAAATAATACACTTAGGTTTTCCCTGTCACCCTTGGTGCCCATTCTAGTGTCCTAAGGCTTTGTCTTAAGTGCAACATGACATTTTTTTGGTTAAAACCTTTTTGAAACTTCAACGATTCTTCCAACAAGTTTATCCGCTCTGCACTATTTCACTAATAAACCTTGGCTACCACGTAGCCCTTGACCTCCAAGTAGTTTACCTATGCAAGACCTTGACATTCTGAACTCATTTTTCTTTACTTCAGAAAGCAGTCATAAGTAGAACTTAATCATAAGGGTAAAATTTGTCTCCAACCAGTTTTGTTTTGGCCATTTCCTTTTCAAAATGTCAGCTATTTTCCCCAAGATTTTTCACCAAAATAATAATCATAAGTGCTGGAATATATAGTATTTTGCAGGAATAAAATAACACAGACATACTCATATTTCTTTGGTGGATCTTGCTTTGTAAAAATTACCAGCATTAAATATAATATATAATGAGTTGAGTCCTTGCCTAGAATAATTTCTTTCCTCTGTGATTCATAAGTAACCTTTTATTTTTACAAAGCATACATATAACTTCCACATTATAGTCAGGGACCTGAGGTGTAACTTTCTAAGTGAACCCCAAGGTTATTTTATCTTGCAAAAGAAAACTAAACCAAACTAAGAGCCTTACAGTTTATGGTTAGACTAAATCAAAAGCTATAACCTCAATTTTTCCAAAAACAACTTCTGACTGCAAAAGCAAGTCATGCAGTTGTTAGGTATGAAATAGCACTGATCAGGAAATGCATACGCATCTTTGCAAGACTGTATTTCCTTCGGAAAAGACTTTTCTACTTTTAATATAAATTAAGCCATAACAGTTTCATGCTGTGGAAAGAGGGTGAAAAGGTTCATTTTAAGAGATTATATAATATGAACTTTCACATTTACTGTGAAATGTCTAACTTTGCCATTGCTTCAGCAAGTTTTTTTTTTTTTTGAGGGGGCAGTTGGAGGGTGGTGATGGGGAGGGGTAGTAATCGTTTTAGGGGGTTTAAATCTGTGAAATTTGAAAAGGGGCAGTTGTTGGCTATGGTATTTACTAGTTTTGTAGTAATGTTTTGCTAGCCTGACTGGCTTTCCTTACTGATTTTTATACCCATGGTCCAAGGTGACTGTTACCCTTCTTGTTTGGGGTGTCTGTGGAGTAGTTTCTCTCTGTTTGTATAGGCAGTCAGTATGTGTGCACGTGTGTCCTTTGAATGCAGAAGCACACTGTGTGACAATGGAATGCGGTGTGGCTGGGAAGTGGGATGCTGAAGCTTTAAGAGCTTTTTTAAAAATTCATAACAGTATTTCCCATCTTTTGCCTGCAGGCAGGGAAAGTGTACAGTATTTATTTTGTTTCTGTCTTACTTTAAATTTGTAAGTCTTTAAGTAGCTTACATGGATTATTATAGGGGAGAACAAGTGACTTGTTTAAAGTTGTATTTGGTATTCTTTCCAATTTCTGTATTTTAAAATATTGAAATTAAAATTGTATTACTTCTGTTTTGATTTTTTTTAGCACTCAGTGTATTTTTTGCTCATTTTGTTTGAAAGTATAAATGTTGAAAGTTGTATAAAATGTGTCTTTGAAAGAAAAAAATCTGAATTCTATATCCAGTTCCGACTTTCTGTTCCCTTTTTCTGTTTATTGAATCATGGGAAATTATTTGAGAGTGTGAAAAACTGTTAAGCTTGTGTTCCTTATTATTTCTGAAGGTTCCAATGTGAAAAGTAACATGTCTTACTATTTTATTACATGAATGGCTGGGGAAGAGCGATTGCTGCAGGAGAGGAAAGAATCTAAAAGGGTAATTGGCAAGACGGGGCTGAGCTGTAGCAGTAGATGTGGTGCTTACTGATGAGCACTTCAGATCACTCACCCCAACATGGGCACCCCACAAATATTCACTGACCACCCGAAGTGAACTACGCTGTTTTAGCACGAGTGTTGCAGGAGTGAGCAAAACCAAGTCCCAGACCTCAAGGAGCTTGTGTGAAATGGAAGAGGCACAGGAAAAGGAGGAGCCGCGGTGGCTGGGCTGACTGGGACGGTAAGAGTGCAGTGCAGTGAGGAAGAGGAGCTCCATTTCAGACACAGTTCTGAGAGACAGGTCGATGGTGAGAGGAGTGAGGATAAGATCTCACTTTGGAGGGGGTGAGAGAGGAGCCATGGAGCAAGGAGGAAAGAACACTGCGGGCAACACTTAGGGAGGAGACTGGAAGTGGGCAGAGTCCACTCCAGAGGAAAACCTGATGCAGATTCATGGAAACCAAGGGAGCAGAAGAACCGAAGACCTCTGCTCTTCCTCTCCCTATTGTCTTCAAAAGAATAGGGATTCCAGAGCACACACACTTAAACACACCTCAAAAGCTGCTCCAGCTGCTATAATGGTGTCACCAAAAGCACTTTGCTCCTCCTTGTCCTTCTGACTGGCCTGCTTTTGTACAGTTGATTGAAACCTAAATCTAAACAAATCTGTTCCTTTTGTAAAATCTACTTACTATTTGTAAGTCTTTGGGATGTTTATCCTTCCTAAAGCTCATATGTTACAGTGACGTAATGATCAGGACCTACTTGCCTTAGACTTTCAGCCTGGTGTTTGTTCCCGCCAAACAGTGAGACTGTATGAAATACATCATTGGGAGATGTTGGTGTTACATCCCTATTATTTTAGAGTGGGAAGAATCAGATGCTATGCAACCAACAGGATTTGGAACAGAAGCCCTTATTGTCTTTATTTCATCCCATTTGAGTTCTTCCTGTGTACAAGGAATATTTTTATTTCTTCCTCATAATAACCAAATGAGGGAGGTACTGTGTCCCCCAGCCTACAGAAGAAACCAAGGCTCAAAGAGGGTAATAACATGTCCAGGTTCATACTACTAATAAGAAGTAGAATTGAGGTTTTAATCAACAGTCTGTCTAACTCAAGAGGCCCTGCTATTTCTTTTGAATTGTTTTCCTCTAATTATTTTTAATTATATACTTTTAAGTATATAAGAGGAATAGATGGTCCTTAACTTAGAAATGGTGTGTGCTCTAAAAATTTTGTGGGCCGGCCCGTGGCTCACTCGGTAGAGTGAGGTGCTGATAACACCAAGGCCACGGGTTCGGATCCTATATAGGGATGGCCGGTTTGCTCACTGGCTGAGCGTGGTGCTGACAACACCAAGCCAAGGGTTGAGATCCCCTTACCGGTCATCCCTATATAAAATAAATAAATAAATAAATAAAATAAAAATTTTGTTGTAGGCACCACCCATTTCAGATTGAAAATATTTTCTTACAGAAGTTTTCAGTGACTCAACCAACTTTTGAGTCTATATTTTCCAAAAACCTGGATACACCGAAAGAATGCTGGTCATCTTCTAGAACTGAGCTCACTTTCTAATGAATGACATAGGCTATAAACAAGTGACATATGAGAAGCACTGCTATAATACATGAACCAAATGCGGATTTCCAAAGTCTCAGAATTAGAGCATAAGAAGAGGCCATGCCCAGAGCACCCCCTTTGCCAGACCCAGCCATGGCCCTTGCAGGCCAGCACGGCTGCCTCCCTCCCTGCTCCTGCCACAGCCAGGCTGCTCCCTCTTCTCCTGCCCTCCCACACTGAAGCTGTATTCTGCCACCATTTTCTGCCCCTCAGCTCTGTAAGTGGGTCAGCAGAAGAGGAAGGAGAAAGAAAAGTCCTGTTCTTCTCTCCATCCGCTGACACTGAGGCTCCACCTTCCAGAGCCTTGCAGAAAAACTTACATCCTCATCCTCCTCTTCATCCACTTCTGGATCCCCGTTCTCGCCTTCCTGTTCAACTCCTCTCCAAAGTACCTTTACACATTTTCAAGTGCTCATGCTGAAATTTTGTAAATTCGTGTTCCTTCTATGCCAGAGTTAGAAAAAGAAAATTAAGGCTCTACAAATTCAAAATAATATGTGTAAATTTCTTAAGTTATTATTTTGTATTTTTAAGGCAAATACAACCTGGGACAAAAGATTCAGAATAACAGTAAGAAATAGTGTTTGACCTTCTCTTATGCTCTTCTTTTAGAAGCTGCCCTACTGCCATTTCTGGGTGCCCTGGAGGAGTCTTGCACCCCACCATCCTCTCCCCTAGCACACGGGATACTCTGCTTGACTCCACTGATCCAGCAGCTGACCAAGACCTCCAATTTCTGTTTTCCCATCCTACCCCTAAACTTTGCAAATTTTGCTCACACCCCACCATCCTCTCCCTTAGCACACGGGATACTCTGCTTGACTCCACTGATCCAGCCGCTGACCAAGACCTCCAATTTCTGTTTTCCCATCCTACCCCTAAACTTTGCAAATTTTGCTCTTATCCTTTTGGATCAGTTCAGCCTCGGTCTCTTCTCTGTGTCCCTTCCAAATCCCACAAGAGACTAGACCAGTTTCTGTCATGGGAAGGAGGCAGCATGTGCTGGCCAAGTTCATCCGTATCCCTGTGGAATCTGAGGCCAGGAACTGTGCTGTGACATTTGAATTTGTACTTTGAGTTATCCCAAACCTCTTAGGTCTTCTTGCATGCAAGTTACTGTTCAATTCCTCTTTCCCCATACTCTGTTGTACATTGGGAGCAAGGAGAGGGACTTGTATTTGTGACTAGATCTTGAGAGACTCTTCATTCGAACCTGTTAGACACCATAGTATACAGGGCTAAGGACACAGACTGAAGCCAGAGTTAAATGAATTAAATCCTGGCTCTGCCATTTACTAACTGGTCTTGGGCAAATTATATAACCTTGTTGTACTTTAATTTCCTCTTTTGTGACATACTTATTTACTTCACCGGATTGTTGAGGGCATTAAATAAGTGAAAACATATGGAGTACTCAGGACAGTGCCTGGCACAAGGAGACACTGACTATTGGCCATTAGTTCCATCTCCTCTGGTTCTAAGTCTGTGATGCCATCTGTTTGACCAGTCACTAAGTAATGTACTTATCCAAGTTACTGCCATGAGTATGAAGATTAGACTAAAAGTAAGTTATACACAAGAGAAAGAAGGGGACAGCTGATTAGGGGGACAGACTCCTACTGGAGTAGAAAGCCAGAGCCCAAACATAAGCCCTGAGAATGTGCAAAAATCCTGGGACATGGGCTAGGGAACTTGAGGTATTTAAGTTTCTGGAACAATGTATACCAGGCTGGTTACCTCTAGGAGATGGGAATAGGATAGGGGAGATTATTGAGTTTGGGGACTTCACACGTTAGTTTTTTGGTTTTTATTTTTTTAATTTGAATAACATGTATCGGCTTTTTTTTTTTTTTTTCCCCTGCTGGCCTGTACGTGGATCTGAACCCGTTACCTTGGTGTTATAAGGCTGTGCTCTAACCAACTGACCTAAGTGGCCAGCCTATTTTGTAATTAAAAAAGGCAAATGCATTCTACTGTGGGGTATGGGCTAGCTGCCCAAGACACACTAATTACACCATCACACCTGTTTGCAGCCCATGAGAAATCAGGCCCTCCGGCCCCTGGTGTGCTGCACTGGCAGCCTAGTGAATGGGGGGTTCAGGGCCGATGAAGGGGACACAGAGTCAGTCAGTCCTGGGAGCTGTGCTGCCTCCTCCCCACTTCCCTGCCTTGTCTGTGCTTCGACTGCTACACTCTGTACAATGTTTACTCTTCCATGTTTGTCTGTCCTACCAGCCTGAGTTTAGGGCTCAGACTCTGTGGTGTTCTATCATCAGCACCTCCCACAGCACAAATTTAGCAGAAATCTCATTAAAAATACAGTGAATAAACACATGAACAAACACGGATATTCCTCATTATGATCACACACATCCCCCCTCTCCCCTCCCCCTCGCTGGCAGTGGTATGGGATGGGGAGGTGGGGGGAGATGGGGTAAAAGAAATGCAGAACAATGGGAAAAGAACCCTTTATGATTTTAGATTTCTGTTTCTGTGAACTATTAAGAACCGTAGAGGACACCAGGACTCCAAGATGGCGTTATTCGTACCAGTGAAGAAGAAACTCACGGATGTTAAACTAGGAGAGCTGCCAAGCTGGATATTGATACGGGATTTCACACCTAAAGGCATTTTTGGAGCCTTGCAAAGAGGTTACTACTGGTATTACAAGTACGTCAGTGTGAAGAAAGGGGGTGTCACTGAGGTTTCCATGGTGCTGGCAGGTTACGTGCTTTTCAACTACTGCCTTTCTTACAAGGAACCCAAGCATGAGCAGTGAGTGACACAAGTACCACTGAAGGGGACCAGTGTGGAGGGCACTGTGCCCTCCTGACTGTGACCTCCTTGGCCTGTACTCCTCCATGAGGAACTCAATCATTGCTGAAAACTTTCATATCCTAATTGAGAATTCATGCCCAATAAAAGATGGAAACAATTAAAAAAAACAACAACAAACTATAGAAACTCACCAATATGGTGGTATAAAGAATGGATGTTACGGGGCTGGCCAGTTAGCTCACATGGTGCTAGTAACACCAAGGTCACAGGTTCGGATTCCCTTACCAGGCAGCTGCTGGGGGGAAAAAAAAAATGGATGTTTCAAGTTTCTCTATAAGAAAAATAAGAAAGAGTAGATTATTCTTTAATGAAGTTAGCTCACATGGTGCTAGTAACACCAAGGTCACAGGTTCGGATTCCCTTACCAGGCAGCTGCTGGGGGGAAAAAAAAGAAAATGGATGTTTCAAGTTTCTCTATAAGAAAAATAAGAAAGAGTAGATTATTCTTTAATGAGATAAACTGTGTGAATGGAATGGATTAAAAATACATATGGACCTCGCTTAGAACCTAAAATTGTATTGTAAACTGCTTTGTATATAGGTGTGCCTAGTTTTGAAAATACAGAATATAGTAATGATTAATGTGTAAAACTATAAAATGAATGAACTAGGTGGTACCTAATTATGAAAAGATTTTTTCCACCCAAAGATTACACAAAACTGTTTCAGGAGCTTAAGAAGCAAGACCCTTCATGGTTACTGTTGGCCTGCTTCAGTGTTTGGGAGGTGTGATGTTTGGGGAAGGAATTGCTCAGTGATTCAGTAGGCTCGCCTTGGCAGACAGGTCACACAGGCGGCCCTGAAGGTGGACAGGGGTATAAGAAGAGTCTGGGCTGTAAAGATTCCTGGTTAAAGAGAGAAGCCTAGCAGAAAGCAGGGTGAGCAGAATGTGAGTTTCAGTCTTGGTTCCTCAACTCCAGATCAGTCCCACTGAATGCAGACACCTTACACGACAATATCAGACTCCAGATCGCCACCTTCTGTCCTGAACATGCTTCTCAGTGAATGGCCTCAACAGTCTCCAGTTGCCCAAGCCAGAATCCTGTGTGGTGGTCTCAAATCTTCCTCTCCCCCACCCCAACCAATGATTCTCAAAGGTCTGTCGATTTATGCACGTTCTCTTGATTGCCACCACCAACCACAGCCCCGCTTCAGCTTTCATTGGAGCTTTTATGATCAAGACCAAACTCCTTGACATGGTGTATCAGTCAGAGGTAGATTCAGCTGCAAGGGAGAGAAAAACCTGAACATGAATGGCTTACGCAAGATAGAAGGCTGGAGCTAGGTATTCCACAACTGGAGGACTACTTCACAAAGTTTTCAAGGGCTCAGATCCGTCCTTTTCTGCTGGCCTTTATCTTTGGCTTATGGCTTCCATCTCTTGATCCACGATGGTTGTTTGGATTTTGCAGCCAGCAGAGGGGAGGTGGAGTAAACCTATAATCACTTTATAATTTCTTTATTCTTGAGAGGCTTAGAGCCTGGACTTTGGAAGACATAAGACCTGGGCAACCTCATGTCCGGGTGACCCTGGCAAGTTACTTAAGCCCTCTCAATTGAGTCTGTTTTTTCAGCTCTAACATGGGTATAATACAGAGGTACTTCAGAAAGGTCATGGGAAGATTCATATCTTTTAATCCCATTTTTCCACGAACTTTTAGATGTCCTCGCATAGTAACTTCTGCCAAATATGGTTGTTGTGAAAAGTAGATGAGATAATCCACATAGAGCATTTAGCCTCGTGGCTGAAACATATATGCTCAGTAAATGTAGTAGTAATTATTGTTGTTCTCCCACCCCCCCCAAATCTGTTAGTCTCTTCTTAATTAGATCAGAGTAACCATGAGGACAAGGACCAAAGTTACCACTACTTTTAACATTTGTAACTACTTCCTTCCCTTGAAGCTTCGCTGGGCTGCAGTTTATCTGGGGTACACATGATTGCCTCACATCTGCTACTGAGTCACCCCGTGGCAGCTGCTTTCTGTGTCTTCCATGAGGTCACCACCTGCTTTACATCAGGTCTCTAGACACTAGATCTCTAAGACACCCCCATGCTGGCCAGCAGAGGGGCAAGGTGGGAAAGGCCACACTGCCCTTCCTGCTTGTCACTTAGCTTTCCACGGTGCCACACATGGAGTTAAGCACACCAACAGATGTTGCCAAAGGGTTTGGGTGGTTGAAAGGAGTTACGAGAAGATATTTAATTTGTACATTCAATGTGGTTATTCCTCACAGTCCAAGGGAAAATAAAACTTTTTCAGGAACATCCCCATTCCCTGGCCTTGCTTGTGTTTAAGGACTCTCCCTCCACTGTCCCTAAGAGTGGATTTCTCTTCAGTCTGTTATCTGTCAGGTCTCCCAAGAAGATGCAGATGGCACCCTCAAACTGTGTAATTGGGAAGAGTGTAATAAAAGGACTATTTACAATGGAGTGAGCAAAGTTAGGGAAAGCACAAAGGGCTGGCAAGGCATCCTGGTGCTAGAAGCAAAGAGGAGGAGCTGTTACCACCCCTGAAGGGCTGGAGAAGGGAAAAGGTTCCAGAATGTAGAGGAAGAGCTGTGTGGAGAGGGCCTCTGTACAGCAGCCATGGCCTCCAGCATAAGGGTATAACCAGCCACCCAAGGAAAGAGGCAGGGGGGTAATAAGTGCCATCCTCATGCCTCTGGCCCTCTGATCTCCTGCCAGTGCCTCCACTGGCAGGTGCCGCTGGATGCTGGACAGCTAGGGTGTGCTCTTGACCCTGTCCTTAGAGGTCGGCCTCCGGAAGCACAGAGCAGGGGGAGAAGAGTGGAAAGTGGACCTGGAGGGGCAAATGGAATTACAGTACTCACCAGCAGCAATTCCCCCAAAGTCTGAGTTATTCAGTCAAGAATAACAATATTGGGGGGTAGAAGGCATGAAAGTAGACTCTGGCTAGTCTGTGGGGCAGGGGAGGAACTTTGACACAGCAAAGACTGGTCCTTCTCAGGTCTTCTTGCCAATGGGAGGTGACGATATGCCTATTCTGTTCTTTGGTTTGGGGATAACTACTTGTATTAGTTTGCTCAGGCTGCCATAACACAGTTCCACAGACTGGGCAACCTTCAGCAACAGAAGTTTGTTCTCACAGTTCTGGAGGCTGGAAGTCCAAGATCACAGTGTCAGCAGGGTCGGTCCTTCTGAGGGCCATGAGAGAAGGCTTTGTTCAGGCCTCTCTGCTCGGCTAGCAGATGATCATCTTCTCTCTGTCTCTTCACATCAGCTTCCTTCTGTACGTCAGTGTCCAAATCTCTTCTTATGAGGACTCCTGTCCTATTGGATTAGGGTCCACCCTAATTAACTCAATTTAATTATCTCTTTAAAGACCCTGTCTTTAAATACGGCTGAGGTACTAGGGGTTAGGACTTCAACATATGAATTTGGGGGGCAGGGAACACAATTCAGTCTATAACACTACTGGATCAAGTACATACATAGATATTTTCTTGAAACAAACAACTCAGTACAATTTATATTTCTATGTTTTTTTAAAAAAACAACCCACTTTTTTTCTTACTACCACATAATCCGTATAGATTCTCCTGGTCACAATAGTGATGGCCAGTGCATAAGAGGAGGCGCCTTACGGAGACATGAGCCTGCCCAAGATCGTTAAAATATCACTGCCTTAGGCCAGAGGAAAACTGGGGAGGGGGCTTCTAGCCCCACCCAGGTCCAGAGCAAATCCCCAGGGATTAGCATGAGGTCTACTGGGATGGTGGGATTAAGAATGATGTTACCTTTATTCCTTTCTCAAATATAGAATAGCAGGTACTGGACTAGATAGGCTCTGGGGGGGTCAATAGGAACAAGGCAGAGTTCCTTCTGTCAGAGTGGGGGTTATAGCCAAGGAAACAAGCAACAGCATTAAAGGCTTTCCCAGAGGTCACATGCTGTACCAGACCTGGCATCAAGCCCTGGTCAGCAGTACAGGCTTCCTGTTCCCTCTGTGGGGATTATCTGCACTCATCAGTGATGTTCGCATGACTTGAACCACAGACCATGCCATGGACACTCTCTGCCTCATGTCTTCAGACCCCCTTTGCCCTGTGTATATCCATCTATAAGCTTTGCTTCGAAGGCCTGCATCCAAATTCTTTTCAGGGGGCTGCTCTTGGGCTACTAGAACCACTTTGCCCAGAAGCAGGTGCAAAGAGCCAGGAGGGCCTGGGACTTTACTTCTGCCCCTGTGCTGACACCCCTGCAGGCCTTAGTCAGTGCTGGATGGATGACTGGTATAATGTCCAGAGGAGGGCCAAACTCAAGAGTGTTTACAGCAGATCCACATTATTCACAGATTCTGTATTTATAAATATCCTATGTGGGCCGGCCCGGTGGCGCACTGCTACAGTGCGCCACTTGGGAAGCGCGGCAGCGCTCCCGCCGAGGGTTCGGATCCCACATACAGACCAGCTGCTCACTGGCTGAGTGAGGTGCGGCAGCAACACCGAGGATTGCGATCCCGTTGCCGGTCCCGGTCCGGTATGGGCGCGACACTGAGGGTTGCGATCCGTTGCCGGTCACGAAAAAAGACAAAAAAGGAAAAAAAAAAAATCCTATGTGCTAAAGTTTATTTGTAACCCCCAAATCAACATGTGTGGTGTCTTCACTGTCATTTTTGGACATGCGCAGAGCAGTGAAAAAAATTGAGTCACCCGACATGCATAAGCACAGCTGAGGTTGAACAAGGCAAAACTCTGCCTTCTTGTCTCAGCTCTCATATTGTAAAGAAGAGTCCTTTTCAAAGAGGTCTGTTTAGTGCTGCATTATTCATATTGTTATGCTTTTTGTTGGTGATTTTGCTATTTAAAATGGCCCCCAAGAGCACTGCTTGAGTGGCGTGTAGTGTTTCTAAGTGCAAGACGGTCGTGATGTGCCTCAAAGAGAAAATGCATGTGTTAGATAAGCTTTGTTC